CCGCGTTGAAATAGTCCTGAACGTTATCCAATTTCCGTAGGACTGCTTGAAGGCAATCGTTGTTGAGTGAATTCACGATGTTTTTCGGTGAGTCCTGGGCGGGTGGAATGTTTGCTTCGTAAAGGAATCGCTGATGTGGTATGCTATATTTCTCCATCAAACCAACAATTTCCATGATGTTTGATTCGCCAAAGTTCACCTCATCCAAATAAAACAATTTCAAAAATTCCTTAAACGTTTCGGATGGAACGCTTCCTGGTAGTTCGACATATCGGACACCCAGTTTATTTGATTTTTCAAAAAACATATTGTAGAATACAGGGCTTGCATTCGACAAAACTATTTTATGCGCTGGTATGCGTTCTTTTTGCATTCCGCACAAAAAATACACGTCGGCAGTGCTATTGTCCAGGTACAAATTTGGCCAATTCACCGATGCAAAAATATTACTCTCCGATCCCGAGAAATTAACTGTGGATGATGCCATTTTAATATGATACACAAAATTGTAGATTTATGAATATTCACTTCGGCTCAGATGCTTTAACTTCAAGTACAAAAATGTTACTGAAGAGAAATGAATCTGCATCCACTTTTATACCCATTTCGGTACGGAGAGTGCATGGATACTCATTAAGAGATAGAAGCTTAATTATTTCTTGGGCATGTCATTATGTTTTATTTTTTAATTACCTCATTAACATACCGAAGTTGTGCCTAAACTGTCAAACAACTAGCGCTATGACGGATTTCAGTGAAATCTATACTAAGTTGCCGCTTCACTTTTATACTCATTTCGGTACAGAGTGAGAATACGTGGTGAGTAAAATAAATGCAAGGGTTCTACATCTAAAATGAAGCATTTGATTCAAACTTTACTTTCAAAATACAAAGAAAAGCAACAGCAATTGCGGCTCTTTATTAAATATTTTGAAGATTTTCGGAGGCCATTTTTTGTGAATATCTTACCATGGTTAGATATGGCGTCATTATTGAACGCGGCTTATGAATATGATATTTGACTTGCCTTCATTATGCCACAACATTTAGAATCTTCATCAATTTAAATACAGTATTTTTACTGAAAAAGTGACAACAAGCATTGCTAGGGGACGGACACCATTATAAATATTAGAATATTAGCGGAATATTAGCAAAATATTAGCAAAAATTAATTTGTTTTGCTTCACCATTGCTTGTTAGAGTATTGCGCACTTTGCTCATCGAAAACTTTTTTTGTTACTTCAAGTGTTTTAGTATTTAATAGAAATAAATTTTATTTTTTCTAAACCAGGAAAAATAAAAAAAATGTTAAATGTTCATCTAAGAATTTATGGAAAATTCATACATGATTTCACTTTGAGATCAGCTATTTGACGTTTGACGTTTATACTAGTGAACTAATATTAGCAATATTAGCAATATTAGTATGTCTGTATAGTTATAATAGTAGATTTTTTTATTAATATTAGAAAAATATTAGCAAAATTAGCAGTAAACTATGAAACTAGATTTTACTAGATTTTGTGTCCGTCCCCCAGAAGCATTGCTCTTAAAAACACAAAGATTAATACTTGAAATACATTTTTGCCATTCAATTTTAGAATTAACTTTCATTTAACCAACGGTCGATAGACTGAAGTGATATTAAGTGTCGACGTATTTTATGTCCGACGTTAGGGTGTAGCATTTTTCAAACATTTTAACGGCGAGGGTAATAACCTTGGCTATGGGATCCCCTGATCACGAATCAGGCGTTTTTTTGCGAAAAAAATATAAACTGAGATGTCACGGCTCAACAGCGAAGTGTCAAAAATGGGAAAAATTTGGATTTTTTTGAATTTTTTTGATTTTTTTGAATTTTTGTGTAAGGCATCAAAATACACTATACTTTCAGTATTGCTTATTTTTATGCTTAAATCATCAGAACAGGTCCCAAATAACACATTCTAGTAGAAAAATTCATTCACATTCAAAAATGGATACCTTTACCATGGAACAACATTTCATTGAAAATTTACAAAAATCCTGATATTCAAAACTATTCTTCTGAACACAAATTTATGAATATTGAAGGTTTCCTGATCCGGAATTATCAATAATTGTCTGAAATTAACATGGAAATTAATGTGTGCAAAGTATTCCATGTCATAAATTCATTTTTGGTACCAAATGGAGACATTAAAGAAAAAATACAGAAAAATGACAAAAATTATAATATTTTCGCCACTTTCTTGAATAAAAAGGCCAAAACTCTTCCGCATCTGAACTTTTCATGTATTTTACTCAATTTGTGACGTTGCAGCATCAATAACATCTGATCTTTAGTCAAAGTGCAGTATAGTTTACTATCCGAGTGGATCACATTGTCATATCAATGAATGGAATGGGATCCTCTAGGGGATTCCGATTTATACGAATGTTCCATATGCGAAAGAATTTGTCATATATATTTTGCAAATGGAAACGAATGGTCGCGAATGTTTCATATAAATTTTGCGAATGGTGTCGAATGTTTCATACAAATTTGCGGACGGTGTAGAATGTTTCATACACATTTTGCTGATGGCGCATATGAAAAGTCATATTTTTACATTTAAAAAGTCAAAGTGACAGATTAGGTGACAGAGATTCAAGCCGAATTGATATTTTTTTGGTAATATTGAGTGAAATTTTTCTAAAATGGTAAATAACTCTTTGCCACTCGTAATATAATCACTGTAAACGGTGCCTTGTGAAAGGTTTTTATTTTCATTGACGTAACTTTCAATTTCTTTTATATTTATATTATCTGAATTTATTTCTAAAATCTCACTTTTCGAATCGCATACGGCTTCTAAAATAATATTCAACAAATAATCTTGTATTTTTTTCTTCAACAGTTTTTCAAATTTAGTTGAGAACAATGACATTGTGTTTGAAACTGCCACGACAAACTGAACACAGCAATGTGTATGTACAAATTTCACACGACAGTTTGTCGCATCTCGCAAGACGTATGCGGCATTCGCGAATGGTTGCGAATGAAATGTACGAATTTTCATAGATGTTGATGCGGATGGATATATACTTTACTTCGTATATTTCATGTATGAATAGGAAAATGTTCATACATTCCGTATAAAATGGCATTCGCATATACTAAAATGCCCCTAGGGGATCCTGTACCTCTAAAACTTGAAAGCTCTTGCAGCATTCGCCTTACTGGTTATGATTTTGTCATCTAAATCCCATTATCATCCTGAAAGTGTATATATTCCTTATAAACAGTACGTATACAGACGTTTTGATTGAAAAGAATTGAAAATTGTGATTAAAATGCAAAAAAATTGAATTTTCCACAAAAAAATTGGAAAATTCATTATAAAGACTTGTTTAACTCCACTAAATGTCTTCAAAATTATTGTGCTACCGAATTGTAAGAATTATACAGGCATATCGGATTTTTCACGGCAACATGGACGTCTAAAATGCGTAAATACATACCTTTTTTGTATGTATACGTATATTTCGATGAGGTCACCACTTGGTACCGAAAATGAATTTCTTATATGAATTACTGCTGTGTTAGAAAGCTTAAATATTGCACACATCATTTTCAGACAATTATTGATCATTCCGGATCACAGAACCTTCAATTTACGTTCAGAAATGAATCATTTGAAAATTGGAATTTTTGAGATTTTTCGGATGAATTCGATGAATTGTCACTTCATGATGAAGGTACCATTTTTTAGCTTTGCATGGATTTTTTTCTTTTGCAATGTGTTATTCGGGTTCTGTTCTGATGATTTAAGCATAAAAATAAACAATACTGAAAGTATAGTGTATTTTTATTCCTTACAAAAAAATTCAAAAAAAATCAGAAATTTTCAAAAAAATCCAAAGTTTTACCATTTTTGATATTTCGCCGTTGAGCCGTGACATCTCAGTTTATATTTTTTTTGCAAAAAAACGACCGATTCGTTATCACGGGATCCCATAGCCAAGGTTATTACCCTCGCCGTATTTGTTTTTCAATTTTTTCATATTTCTGCTACAGCCTATCCGACGTATATATATTTTATATATTTCAATGACAAATTTCTGTTGTTTCTTTTCTATGTTCTAGAAAAAATATTTCATCATTTTTGTTCTATAGAATTTAAAATCATAATTATTGAGCGTGATAATGGTTCGGTGTTTTTATGTTTAGCATCAACCTTTTGAATATTCGAAAAACCTTTATATTGATAACTATGGAAATTTACTTCGTGTTCTGTGATTTCTTTTCCTTTAACTCCTTGTTGAGCTTAGGATCTCAATAATGTTCTGTGATATTGAATCTAAATATGCTCATAGAATTCAATCGTAGAGTTTTTACAGTTCATTTAAAAAAAAACCAAAATAATTTGAAGGGTAGAGATAACGGAATCACGCTATCACATTTCGATGAGAGCGAAAGAAAAGAAGAAACATACATACAAATTTGGGATATTTTGGTCTTTCCGAATTAATCAATATTCCACCTAAATTGAAATCAGAGAAAAAACCCAAGCGTCATCATGCGCAATTCAAAAATGAAGCAAAATGATAATAGAGAATACAAAGCACAGAGAATAAAAGTGGCTATTAGGATAACTGAAAAACCGCACTTTTTATCAAAAATCGTTAATAACTTGCTGATGAGAGATGCTTGGGCCCTGTCTTTATGGATTGAGGCGTTGCTCGATATACTCACCGACCATCTCTTGTCAAAAGCGCAGTTTAACTACTTCAATTCTCATTCTGATGGAGAGCAACTCAATTTGATTTAAATGTGTGAAACAATGTGTATTTAAGAAGAAAGTAAAATCTGGAAAGTCCAGAAATTGCAAAACAGACGCTCGTATCATACGTAAATTTAGATTGATTACAACGAATTCATTTATCAATTTGAAATTAAAACCCATTTGAGATGAGAGCATCATTTAAATATTGATGTAGCATCATTTTTAGTCAAGTCTCTTTTGATAAATACTGGCAGCAGAAGCTCATGTGTTATCAAATATAGTAACTTAAAGTGATTCAATTTTATTCGGTGCATGTCTATTTGCGAACTGAAAATGAAAATACATTTCATAATTATTCTGATTGCATTCACAGTTTATACTGTAAATGCAATCCCACAACCAACAAACGATCATATTTTTCAACATGGTTACTCAAATCATTACCCAAGTGCAGTTGATACCTCATTAAATACACCAAACGCACCAGTGGCTTCAAATATTTACCAAAGTGGTTACAAAAATCCACATGTTCAACAAAATAATTACCCAAGTGCAGATGGACATTATGTAAATAATTCAATTTTCTTTTTTTTTTCATTTAAATTTTGTGGAAAAATGTGAAAAAAATTTTTTCGTGCAAACTTGATTTCATCTTGAATACGATCAGATTTTAACGAAAGAACACACGCATAAAGACCGATAAATAAATTATTGTTATTTTTTTTATGATCGATGAAAATTGTGAACTGTTCAAGAGTAAAAATTTAAGTTTGCTCAAAAATGATCTGCAGTCTGGGTTGGCCAAGTTACTCGAAAAAAAATTAAAAATTATTTCTTGTTAATAATCTTAAAATGGTCAACATTAAAGCAATTCATGAAAATCGAAGGAGTTTCGCTAAAATCTTTTGAATGTATCACAGCAATGAAATCCCTACTACCGTGCTAGATGGTGTCGACACGAGTGGACGGATTTTTAAATTTATTTGAACGACGCCATGTTACTATACTTGTCCATTACAACGTACATGTAACAGAAGAAACACACAGTCCATGTCCACGCTATTGGACATAACCGATTTGAACCGTCAATGTGAACTAGATCAAGTATAGAACTTTACATAGGATCATATACGATGAATATGGATTACACAGTCTGTTTCAAAATACCGTCACCAATGTCGACACCATTTGACATCAAAATTCTGACAGTAAAAATATGTGTTATTGTTGTTGTCGTTTCATTGCTGTGGAATGTATAGATCTTTTCATGCGAGCATCTTTCCCACATAATTTGAATCCAATATAAAATAAAATCTGTGAATCATTGAATGTTGACAAATAACGCTATTATCGATTGATCAGGATTTGCCCATTAGTATGCTGACAGAGAAAATGATTCACATACAAGGTACACGATCACATCTGTGCCGAATTTTCAAGCTATTGACGACCATTTAGGAACCTTCTATACTTTTTTCCTCGATTAAGTGATAACACGGCATTGCAATCCGAAAATAAAATAATAATCAAATGAATTGTGACGCATACTTGAATGATTAAATTGACGACCATGTGAATTCGAATTTATTGTAAAATTGAAGGAAGTATTTTTTCCAAAGCAGAGCTCTGAGGAGCAATTTAATTTTATTCAACCATCATGACTGAGAGATGTCAAATTGTAAAAACGCCATCTGGTAACGTGTGTGAATTGTGGTTGAAAACAACCGATATGAAAATTTAGTCAAGACACCATCCAACAATTTCGTCTTTGTAGTTACATACATTGATAACCACGTCAACAGAGTCAGCGCATTATTGTGCGACATTTTTCTCGCCTATATTAATATATACACACACGGGAATAATGTATAGATTATTGGTAGAAATGATTTTTTTTCTTAAATCTATACAAAAGTTTAGATATCTCAACAAAAATTTATTTTTTATTAAAAAAATATTTTCTCAATTTCAATAAATATTGCGATACATATTTATCAACGAGCGCCAAAATACATCATTTAATACAGCCTTTTCTCTTCACACGAAAGAACAACAACAATTATATGGCTACACTCGAACGGCGACTATAGAGGATGCGACCACTACTTATGCAAACAACGTGTCTTGTTACATTGGAACGGCAACTATATAGAAGTCAACTACTACACACGCATCACTTCAACTGGCGAGTCAGTGGAAGCATGTAAGACACAAACGACAACGTTGTTTGCATAAGTAGTGGTTGCATTCTCTATAGTCGCCGTTCGAGTGTAGCCATGTAATTGTTGTTGTTCTTTCGTGTGAAGAGAAAAGGCTGTATTAAATGATGTATTTTGGCGCTCGTTGATAAATATGTATCGCAATATTTATTGAAATTGAGAAAATATTTTTTTAATAAAAAATAAATTTTTGTTGAGATATCTAAACTTTTGTATAGATTTAAGAAAAAAATCATTTCTACCAATAATCTATACATTATTTCCGTGTGTGTAGGGACTCATTGTGGTTGATTTTATTTTGCTCCTCAGGAGTCCTCAGTGACGAGGAGCACTGTTCTTCAGCCAACTCTTGCTCCTCAGAGCTCTGCTCTGAGCAACAGTCCCTGCATCCAATATTTTGAGATACGTGGCATTTTACGTGCCAACTCAGTAAAATATGTTTTCTCACCCTCTCTCCCGTTCAATGTTTAATTTTCGTTTTAATCTCTTGAAGAATATCGTACAACCGGTTTCAACAAATTCAAATGATCAACAAACTATGTTCGAACAATCTTCAAATAACCAAAATCCATCATGTGAATGTGTGCCGTACCACAGATGCGGTGCAGATATGAAATTGATCAAAACAAGCGATGCGAATGATAACGCAGCGATAGGCTATCATCAAATTGATGCTCGTTTTTATGAAACGAGAGAATGCGCTGATCTCTTAGATGTTTGCTGTGAGGGTGCGGCTAAACTAAATATATCAATGACTCCAGTTCCGCCCCCTCGACCAAAAGGTTGTGGTGTACGCAACCCCAATGGCATAGATTTTATATTAACCAATGTTGTAAGTGCAAAAATAGAATTACAATGCAGTTTACATTTGTTGATATTGTAATCTATAATGCTCACTTTGTCTTTTATTCTCGCCGAGAATAGAACAATGAGGCTGCATTTGCTGAATTTAATTGGGTCGTTGAGATACTTACAAATGATGTTGATAATCAACCAATTGCTGGGGGCAGCCTAATTCATCCAAAAGCAGTTTTAACCTCCAGTCACAATGTAAAACAGTAAGTATTCAAATATTCAAACAGATCATTTCATTTTGATTTTAATGTGTTTCCATTGCAGGTATGAAACAAGAGCAAAACAACTAAAAGTTCGTGCTGGCGAGTGGTAAGTGAGATGACCATTTTGAAATTCAATCTTTTGCAAACGACATTTTCCTTATTCAGGGACACTCAAACCACAAAAGAAAGTAGACCATACCAAGAACGTGTTGTTTCCGCAATTCATCTCCATTCGAGTTTTAACGACCATAGCCTGGTGAATGACATTGTGAGTGTTTTCTATTCGGAATATTGAAATTCGCCTTGCGCAAATATCTTTATTGATTATCGACTTTTTATAATTGCTTTAAGGCAATTGTTACATTGACCGAAGAGTTCCAAATGGACGTTCACATAGGCACAGTGTGCTTACCGCCACCAGGTTATGTGCCAAATTTTCCAGAATCGTGTCTCGCTAGCGGATGGGGTAATATAGATCTAGACGCGAACCACTCTCTGGTTTAAATCCATAAAATAATCAAAGTATATCATGTGATTTGGTATTATTTTATTTAACCACAGGCAAAGATAATTTTGGACAAGCCGGCAAATGGAGTTTGATCTTGAAAAAACTACAACTTGGCATTGTTGATTCTAACACATGTGAACAAAAATTGCGAAATTATCGATTGGGCAATAATTTCATTTTGGATAAATCCTTCATTTGCGCTGGTAAATTTACAAAAATAATAGAGAAAGGAACATTCCCGTAATATTCGTTTATTCTTTGATTTCATAGGAGGAATTGAAGGAGTTGACACGTGTCAAGGATATGGTGGTGCTCCGCTTGTCTGTCCAACTGGATATGATAATCGTTATGTGCAGTATGGAGTTGTGTCTTGGGGTCTTTCTTGCAACAAGCCTATACCAGGTCAGTTTAGTATAAGCTTTTCAAGATTTAAACATTAAAGATCGTTATGTTTTTATTGTTGGCCATTGGTTAGATTTTTAATTAAAAATGCTCTGATTTTAATTCGCAGGTGTTTATGCAAATGTACCGAGCATGCGAATTTGGATTGATAGTAAAATGTCATCTTTGGGCTTGGGGAACATCTACTACACATATTAAAATTATTTTCTTACTAAAACAAATGAAAAGCATCAAATTTTTTCTTCTTTTTTAGTGTAAACAAAAATAGACCAAGAGCTACTTTTGACTCAAAAGTTTTGAGTAACGTTTTTGCAAGTAACGTTTCTTTTTGCTTTATCAGAATTATTTTATAGTCAGAAAATTAAATTGAACCCATTCGCGAAATCTACACTATTAATAATAGTCTATTATTCGCGGATAAAAAACACATCAACTATGATAGCGAGTGCTGAATATTTGATTGGCTGTAGTGATAAACGTAAAATTATTTGTTTTGTGTATGTCCAGCTGCATGGTTCAATATAGTTTTCTGACATAAAACATAAAAGATACTTGTTAGAGTGGCTCCTGGTCCAAAATTCATTGATTTTGATCAAATTAAATTTGAATAATAAAATTAAAATTGACTTGAATTGCAAATTAATTTACCGTTATTTATTTTTTAAAGAATTTTATTCACGAGATCGACAAATTTCTTGAATTCAACAACAACTGGACCAGTCAATTCCGATTCGCTGTATTCAATATTTTTTCGATATAAAACTTTATACAGGTCTTCTAGAGCTTCGGTTAAATTATCGACATGGCTTTCTTGGATTATTTTGAATTCATCAAGATTGCACAATTGTTTGAATAAATTCACCTTGCCAACTTTGGTCGATGTATGTAACGCTTTCATTACTTGAATCTAATCCATGAATGACGTATTTCACATTTTCAAAACAATCCAAAAATTGCATATTCATCGAATTTAGTAGTCCAATGTAGAACATGAATATGTTTTTTGGTTTACGTTCTAAGCTGTTGTATTTATTCACATAGTCTGTATAGCAACTATTTTCAATTTCACCATCAGTTGTGAGATACAGATCATAACAATTTGATGGTTTTGTTGCGTGTAGTGAGTTCCAAATAAAATTCGTATACACAGAAAGAAAAAATATGGTATTTTTTATTCAATTTTGGTAGATTTAATATAAAATCAAACAACAACGAATTAAATTTACCATTTTTGACATCTCTGAGGCATATTTTTCAAAAGTGACTATTTGTTGAATAAGTTTTACCAACTGCTTCATTACATTTAACAACTTTTCGAAACCACAGATGACGCTAGCCGATGAATTTGGTGAATGAAATGAAGCAATTGGTAAAAATTATTAAACTGATAGTCTCTTTTGAGGAATATGCCTCAGAGATGTCAAAAATGGTAAATTTAATTCGTTGTTGGTTGATTTTATATTAAATCTACCAAAATTGAATTAAAAATACCACATTTTTTCTTTCTGTGTAAGTTCCGCCGCCACCTCCGCTTCGTTTTTCGATGAATTTCCGTAGAATGTCAACCGAAACATATTTGTATTGTGAAGACCACACAATAACTCTAAAATCTGAATAGTCTTTGCTCAACATTTCATTTAGTAATTCATTCACTTTATTCCAATAGAATTCAGAACCCGACACCGACCCACTAACATCAATGGCTAAAACACATGTATTTTTAATTAGAGCCATTTTTTATGTGGTTGCTTTCGTTGATTTCGATAAACTGAGTTTTGCAGTAAAGCCGCTACAGCTATTTATGTCTTTAAGCGTCATGAGTCACTTTAGCCGAGATTGAATTTCGTAACATCAAGTCAACATGTTGCTTCTTGCAGTTATGTGTTGGTAAATAAACAAAGTCAAGATGCACTGTAGCGTTACGCCGTACACAAAAAAAAAGATAACTCGATGCAAAATACACATTACAATTCCGTACAATTCATTTGATAGCAAATTTTATTTGACGTTTGTAGTTTGCTGTAATTACATATACATAGGAAGTTTAACATTTACTCCAGTACGGTGTAATGTGTATTTTGCACCGACTATTTTACCAAAAATTTTATGTGTGTATGTTTAATTATTGATTTATGTATAAGAACTTATACACTTATATATATATCATACATCAGCCGGTGTTTGTTGTGTATTCATTTGATTTGAATGTCGGCACAAAATAAACGAATGATGCGTATTTGTGTTGCGGATGTAAATGATGTCATCAAAAACCACAAAAACATGTTGATACTTTCATGAATTGCACCACATTTATTCAACTGACATCAGATTGAGTAAGGAATATGTTAAATAAATTTTTTCCCGGAACAAAATCAATTTGTTCCTGGTAACTTTATGGTTACATTTTAACAAGAATTCTTCAAATTAAAATATTGGAACAACAACCCTTGTGGAAAATTGCTAATTAGTCGGTTAACTAATCCCGAGTCAGTATAATACCCTTTTCGAAGAGTGTACACGCTCTTCTCACACTCTTCGTATAGTTTTATTCGACTCCCTTCTCACACTCTTCTCACACTTTTGCATAAAACACGTTTATTGCTCAGTAGCTTCAATTTTTTTCTCTAAAAAATTTTCTTTTTTTTCCTTTATAAATTATAATAAATTTTTCCACTGATGGATAGTTTTTGATTTTGTTTATTTTTGACATTTTGAAAAAAATGAACGTATACAAAAAAAAATGAATTTGTAGTTCTGTTGTATTTTGACACAGCTGACGAATGCTATAAACGTCACAAACGTTCAAATATCAAAATACAAACATTACTTCCACTAGAATGCAGTGACAGCAGTGATAGCATTACCAATACCATTACACACTCTCTTCTCACTCAATATACGTGTTTTATGCAAAAGTGTGAGAAGAGAGTGAGAAGAGTGTGAGAAGGGAGTCGAATAAAACTATACGAAGAGTGTGAGAAGAGCGTGTACACTCTTCGAAAAGCGTATTATACTGACTTGGGATTTGGCGTTTTTGGCTTAAGCTTAAGTTGTTTTAAGTTGATTTGTCTGATTTTTTAGTCAATTCTAGTAGAAAAAATATAACTTAATTCAACTTCAATCGCAGTTGAATATAGACAAAAACGTCCCAAATTAGTTATCTGTTTATGTAACCAAAAATACATGTGAACAAAAGATACGCGCACAACAGAACAGCACATATATATTATTTTGTTTTTTTTTTTTTTTCATCAACGTTTGCTTTCTTTTTATCTTAAATTTCATTTGGCGCGTTTCGGTACAATTAAGTACATTTTTGGTACAATTATTTAAACCTAGTCCCAAGTTTCGACAAGACATTCGACTATTCATCCAACTCTAGTGTAGTACAAAATTTCGCCGGAATTGTTCATTGAAAATTCTTTCAATTTTCTAGGGTTTTTCGGATGTGAGAAATTATTTTCTTTCGATTTGCTAGGGATTTTCGCCAAAAAAGTGAAGAGCAAAAAAAAGAAAAAAAAACGAAATTGGTTAGAGAAGTTTTAGTTTCGAAAAAACACACCCCCTCCCCCCTATAGAATATAGCTCGCACATTACTGCTGTAAATTATAAAAGGGCTCTTGAAACCAATAATAATAAAAATAAAATGGTCTATTAATAGCACATATTAAATTGGAAACTTTAAAAAACCATTCTGTAAAGTGTTCAAGTAAAAGTTACAAAGTGTTCAAATCAAATAGTAATGTTAGTTATCAGTTCTTATCATTTGAGTTATACACATTATCTAGATCAATTTTATTTTGATAGTCCAATGGAATGCGTTTTACGTACACATCGTTTGATTGTTGTAAATTTAACGACTTTTATTGACTGGACGCATTTTAGATGTGATTGCGCAAATAAATTAAATGATACAACACTAACTGTTGCCAATGAACTTAAGTGCTTCTTTCGTACCGATAACGATAATGCTAGGGGACATTCGTAGCAATTCTAGTAAGCTAGTTTTACTTACGTATTCGCTAATCGCTTACTAGTATTACTAGTGAGTACACTAGTGCTGCTAGTAGCTGCTAGTTTTTCTAGTGTTTTGAAATTACCTAGACGTATCGTATGGTACATAAAAGAAACAACAGTAATGCTTAAGTCGCTTGTAAACGAACCAAGTGAATAGCGGAGACGCACGATAACGAAGTGAGTGTATTGCGGCAACGGATAACAACGTTCGTTGTCGCTATTCACTCACTTCGTTTTCGTGCGTCTCCGCTATTCACTTGGTTCGTTTGCAAGCGACTTACGCATGCTACAATATATTTTACATGCCTCAATTCATTTGCTTTGGACTATAATACGCTAGTGCTTGCTAGTCGCTGCTAGTTGCTGCTAGTTTCACTAGTTTTTCTAGTATGAATGTCCCCTAGCGATAATGTCTAGAGTTCTGTGAAAATCGTCTGATCGTATATGGTCTTGCTATAGCAATAGTACACATTATGTATCAATTTAACAAATTGAATAATTTACATTTGATTAATTGGCTCAAATATTTGGTGATATTTGCCAAACGATAGCCTTTCTAATTCAGTATATACGATACAGTGAATTGATCAACAACTATTCAATCGCAAGAATATTTGTGGCATTGTTGTTATTCTCTTTATTTGTATGATGAATTCCAAGAAAGGGTAATGGAAATTTTCAATATAATATTGGTTCTACATAAAAAGTTTAAAAAAATAAAGAAAATATGCCCAGAATTTTTAAATTAAAATTATTCACTCAACGATTGTTTTATAGATCAAATTCGGTTCCAGCAATTGATGCTGAAAAATCCACAAAGGAGTATGATCCATTTGCATCGAGGAACATTGAACATCCGACAACGTACGAATGATCTCATTGTGAATACACTTTTATGTAAAAAAAAATTAATTGTCAAATTGATGTTTTAGAGATCGAGAAACTTTAGTGCATCTTATGAAAGCATCACTTGGCACAGGGATTTTGGCAATGCCATACGTATTCAAGCTTGGTGGATTGGCAACGGGTTTTTTTATCGCATTAGTGACTTCATTCATTTGCGCACATTGCAGTTACATATTAGTATGAGTGAAACAGGATTACAGTTATTCATTTTCGTTCTCATTGACTAATCCACTTTCTTATAGGTCAAATGTGCGCACATTTTGTACAAACGAACAAGAACATCATCAATGACATTTGCAGAAATCGCCGAGGCTGCCTTTGTAAATGGTCCGAATGCTGTTCATGGCTTGGCACCGTTTGCACGACATTTTGTCACAATTTTAATGTTTGCTACATACTTTGGTGCCTGTGGTAAGTGAAACAATTCAGAAATCCATTGAATTTTAAAGTATGGACTAAAAAAGCCGTCTATTTTAAATAGCCGTCTATGCAGTGATCATTGGTGAAAATACAAAACAAATGTATGCGTATTATACATCAACTGAAGAAGAAAATGTCAGTCTTCGTATATGCATTTTGATATTTTTGATACCACTCGTTCTATTTTCGTCCATTCGAAATTTGAAATTTTTGGCTCCTGTTTCAATGTTGGCCAATATATGCATGGCAATCGGTTTGTCCATAACTATTTACTATTTCCTAAGCGATTTACCTGATTTGGCGAAACGTCCGATGGTGGGCGAGATTTCTGCATTTCCATCATCAATTGCCATTACAATATTTGCAATCGAAGCGATTGGCGTTGTGATGCCACTGGAAAATCAAATGAAAACACCACAAAATTACGTGGGTGTCTTTGGTGTCTTAAACAAAGGAATGGCCATCGTTACAGCTGTTTATCTTGTAGTTGGATTTCTTGGTTTCTGGTGTTTTGGACGTATCACGATGGAAAATATTACCAGGAATCTACCAGTTAACGAAAAGTTCGTTTACAATATTTTTAATAATAGTTTTTCAATAAATTTATTTGTCGATTTTTTTTTCTTCAAATTTATAGAAAAGCACAAGTGGTTAAAATTGCTGTACTACTTTCAGTTCTTATGACTTTCAGTTTGCAATTGTATGTTTGTATTGAAATAGTATTTAATGCAGTTAAAGATCGTGTCGGCAATAAACAAGTGATGACAAATTATGTCATTAGGTTTGCGTTTTTTTGCTTTTAAAAAGAATATTACAAAGCGTGTTCGGATGTTATGTTCAATCCCTTTTTCATTGCAGGGTATTACTCTCTACATCGGCAGTTTTGCTTGCTGTGGCTGTGCCAACAATGGGCCCATTGATTGAATTAGTTGGTGCTTTTGGTTTTTCCTGCTTTGGACTTATACTTCCGGTACGCATTTTCTGTATAAATATAAAAAAAAACCACTCTTAATGAACAATTAATTCGCTATTTTAAAATTTCTTTGTCGTTGAAAAGGTTATTATTGAGATAATGACATGCTGGAACTATGGATTCGGGCGATTCAACTGGATATTGATAAAAAATTTCATTTGCGTTGTATTTGGGTTGTTTGCACTAATTTTCGGTACGAGATCAGCCATTGCTCAAATCTTCCAACATTTCTCATAAACTTTGAACGCTGATTTTTTATACTAGTATATATCTTTAATCAAAAGCAAGACAAAAAATACAAAACTGCAACTTTCTACCATAAATAAGAGCATTTATATTTCAATAATTATTTGTTTAATTTTTTTTACATTTAATCCAATCAAATAAAGATATTAAACGATGTTCTCGTTTAAGGGCATAAAAACGATATTTCCCTCAGTATTTTGATTGAACGTAATTGTTCTTTTATTTGAAAGTTCATTTGATGAAATTACCGAATCAAGGGCTATGTTAAAATGATTATTCAAATTCACAATTCTATCATGTCTTGTTATTTGTTGACGTTTTCAAGAAATACGGCAAATCCTAATATTGGTAATTAGTTTAATTCCCGCGTGGAAAAAATGTGACTGACTGACTGGTTAGCTGAAATCGATTGAAATTGAATTTTGTAAACTGAAGTCGTCTACCCAGTCGACTTTAGTCGTCTATGTATGTCATTTTAAACAGATGACTAATTTGGGAAGTTTTTGTCTATATAGTCAACTGCGATTGAAGTTGAATTAAGTTGTATTGTTCTCTACTAGAATTGACTGAAAAATCAGCCAAATCAACTTAAAACAACTTCAATCTCAGTTGGCTTTAGCCAAAAACGTCCAAAATTAGTTAACTAGACTAGTCAGTCAGTAATTTTCCACAAGGGTTGCAGTAGAATTGTGTAAGAAAGGCAACTATCAAAGTAGAACATTCAATACTTGCAATGCACAAAGTGTTTGTTCAAAAAAAAAAATCGAATGCACTTAGAATAATAACCACACATAAAATTACCAAATTGATAGAATTTGATTTGATAGTTCTGTGTTTTGTCGATGACTGTGGTGTTTACTATTCGATCCTAGAGTTTACTTGTTGTCAATTTGCTGTTCTGGTTATTGTCACAAACTCTGTTTCACTCTAATCATAACTATTGTTCAATTGAACCAAACATTTAAGTAAAAATCAACATTTTTTTTAATTTCCACTCATTTAACATTCGAGATATTCGACATTTTTTTCGTCAAACAATTTTCTGTAAATTTCAACATTATGCTCATAATAGTTCACTTTTGTACAAATTAAAATAAATAGATGACATTTGCTCGACTTACCTCTTCTAAGCTGTAGGGAGATTCTTCTCCATTTGTACCAAGGTCAAGGTCAGCCAAATATGGAGGAGCTCAAGAACTTCTCTTATTATGAAGTAAAATTTCAATACGCGTTGCACAAATTTCGATAAATTTGTTTTAGCAAAATCTGTTGTACTTGATCAAATTCAATAAAGTGATAAATTGGGTTTAAATGCTATTATCGAATTAATCACATTATTTGAAATTGAAATGTTTCTATTTAATTTATCAAATACAGATATTAAAGGTTGAAAAACGATCGAAACTAGGATTGTTCTGCACCTGTAAAATATCGGGCCATACACTAGGTGACGGAAATCATTAGCTAGCTTTTCATAGTCCAAGTAAAACTAACGATAAGCTGAAAAAATGAGTAAAAATATTTTGATATTGTGTCATGATTTGGTAAATAACTCAATTTTACCACTCGAGTATTGAAAGAAACAAGCATTTTATGCACAATTTTGTTGTTTTAATAAAAGAAACTAAATTAATATTTATACATGTAGTAAATATATAATTATTCAATCCACATCTTAATAAGTCAAAGCGACAAAACTTCATTACGTAAAGTTGGTAGAACAATCAAATGACAATACGAAAAACTAGAAAATGTGCACATTCATAAGAGAATATTAGCGATATTAGAATATTCAAGCAATAAACTAGTAAATTAGCTATAAACTAAAAAAAATAGCATTGGTGTTTCTCCCCTGATCTTGAAAAATAAAATGAATAATTTAAATCAATTATCGAAATCGTATGTTTCTATTTATTCAATTACGGATCCATGATAAGAAATAAACGCCACATTACTCAGTGTATAGATTTTGTATTTGCTCATGAACTTTATTGATCGAACAAAAATCAATCATTTTTTCTGAACAATGGTCATGAGACTTCGGCACAAAATATTAATTGAATCAATTTAATGAATCGTTGCGGCGAAAAAATAGCTCCAAATTTTTTTTTTTTTTTTCAAATAACACTGCAACATACAGTTTTTTTTCACACTGTTTATATTGCAGTATTATTTAACGATTGAAATGTAGGCGGCACTTTGCACTCAATGTAAATTCCTCGTTATGAAATGTATGTATGCGATGAAATTGAGCCCTTGACAATGGCATGTCATTGTACAATTTAATTTCCTTTATTTTTATAAAAGCAACGTTCTTTGGTCCAATCTTTATTAGGTTTATTACAATCTTTAGCCATGACTCTACGTAAACTAAAACGGTGCAATGGTATTGCAACAACAACAACAATCGTTTATAGCCCCATTCGAATATACCTCTCGTAATTTCTCTCCAAGAGCCAGGTTCTTAGTTTCTCTACACCACTCATATCCTCTAACATCCAAATCACACTCCACAGAATCCAAATACCATCTACGGGGTCTTCCTTTGTTTCTCGGTCCATCTGCCTGCTATTGCTCGGTCCAATGCTATTACTTTTATAATAATGTTCTATAAGATTTAAAGAATGCAATACTCCAAGATGGTCTGATAATTTCAATGCAGAATAATCTTTACTGTAACATTGTATTCCCTTTTAGCTCATATTCGATGCGGAATACCGAATAGCTTTGCTAAAAAAAACGACTTTTTTATAAATCATGTATGATCTTTCAAGTCGTTTTTCACAGAGCATACAATTTGTATAGAAACCCGATAGTCATTAATAATGACTCATTATTAATATAATTATGTGAGTAAGTAGACTTTGTGATAAAAACCGTAAACATACATTTGATAAAGTAAATCAAAACCACAATCGCGGTCAAATTTCATTCATATTTATATTTGTTTATATTCACCAGAACCTCAGTATATCAGTCATAAGTTAGTAAATACCAAAAGAATATTTAAACCACCGGAAATTTAACCAAATACATGTGTTTGAATGGAAGATTACTAATTTTGTGCATTCGATAAAAAGAAATGAACGAAAAAAAAAGAAAATATCAACATGTTTAGGTGATTGCACGTTGTACATATACGCCACACATTATGCATTTAAAGTTCGAACAAAGTCGAATCATGCACGAAGTTGTCCGTATATAAAGAGTGGTGCGTATTGACTGAATATTTAGTATACGAATTGTCAGAAACATATATAGGAATCTCAAAGCCGGCAAACACTTTATACACGTACTCATCGAGAAAATATCATTGAATTCAACAACTGAAAGGCAACATCTATTGAGAGAGACAGAGTAAAATCAACAGTTGCGATTGAGAAAGCAAATAGTTGACGACACATTTTTATATCGTTCTAAAATTAATAGTTGTTATTGAGCTATTGTGAAACTCTTATCACATTCTCTATAATTTTAAAGAAAAAATATCGAGCATTTTTAATTATTTATACCGATACGCAAAAAATGGCAAATAACAGTGTCGCTGTACCTGATGATTTGAAAAAGTTGTACGAGTAAGTATCGAAGAAGAAAAAAAACACATTTTTTATTGAACGAAATTCTTGAAAGAAATAATATGGAAAATTTGATAAGTGACTATTCGATATCATGGTGTCAATTATCATAGAATATAATTGAGTGTTTATTCAATTTAAGATAAATAAGAGTCAAAATGAGTATAGAATGCATGTAAGTGTCACACACACTTATGCAAAATACCATTTATGTCCACTTGATGTTATTATTCAAAATATTTATGGTAATGATATTTATCTGGTTCTTTTTTTATCGCCAGTCATGTCGATGCGAACAAAGTTCGATACATTGAAACATTGCGTGAAGCAGTGGCCATCAAATCGGTGTCCGCCTGGCCACATACTCGAAATGAAATTCAAAAAATGGTTGATTGGACGGCCGAAAAATTGAAAGCACTTGGTACTCAAGTGGAATTAGCCGAATTGGGAACACAAACACTACCGGACGGTCAAACTCTTCCATTGCCAAAAGCAATTTTGGGCGTATTAGGCAATGTATGTATCGATAACAAAAATATATTAGCTTATCAAACAATTCTAAATTTCAATTTGAAAGAGAAAAAAAATGCTTTATTTTCGAAGCTTTAGTTTTTATTATGGTGTAATAATTTTCGATAAGAAAATGAAATCGCTATTGAAATTATACACTCCATTATACAACGTTCGTATTGTATTTCATATGTGTGAATTTATCATATATTCACTTATCAGATTACATACGTTTCAAGCTATAAGTTCATGAAATAGTTCTAATTTTTTTTTAAATTTTGAAATAAATCAGGATCCAGCTAAAAAAACGGTCTGTGTTTATGGTCATTTGGATGTTCAGCCAGCATTATTGTCCGATGGTTGGGATAGCGAACCATTCGTTTTGACTGAGAGAGATGGAAAATTGTATGGTCGCGGTGCATCGGATGACAAAGGTCCTGTTATCTGTTGGATTCATGCCATCGAAGGTTTTCAAACGCTTGGAATTCCCATTCCAGTCAATATTAAATTTGTGTTCGAAGGAATGGAAGAGAGCGGCAGCGAAGGTTTGGATGAATTGCTAATGGCAAGGAAAGATGATTTCCTTAAAGACGTTGACTATGTTTGTATATCCGATAATTACTGGCTCGGAAAAGATAAACCATGTATTACATACGGTTTGCGTGGTATTTGTTACTTTGGTGTTGAAGTTCATTGTGCAAGCAAAGACTTGCACAGTGGCGTATACGGCGGTGCTGTGTGAGTCATAACAATATTAAATTACAATTTTCGATTCGATAAAAAATCACCATATTGTTTACTAATTTTGTTTTTTTTGTTTTTTTTTTTGCGCAAACATTTGTTTTTTTACAGTCACGAAGGTATGGCTGATTTGGTTTATTTGCTGAACACCTTGGTCGATAAAAACGGTCGCATTTTGATCGATGGAATTTACAAAAATGTTGCACCGCTTCGTGAAAATGAAAAAGAAACTTATGATAAAATCAGCTTCGATGTAAATGAATATCGTAAAGATATTGGTTGCAATAAATTGGCACATAATGAAGACAAAACCCAATTGTTGATGCATCGCTGGAGAAATCCAAGCTTATCAATCCATGGAATTGAAGGTGCTTTTTATGAACCAGGTCAAAAAACTGTTATCCCACGCAAAGTGATCGGAAAGTTCTCAATCCGTATTGTGCCAAATCAAACAGTGGCCGATGTTGAACGTGCTGTTTTGGCCCATTTAAATGCCAAGTGGGCTGAACGTGGTTCACCAAACACATTCAAAGCATATTTGGCACATGGTGGTTCACCCTGGGCAGCTGACCCAACTCATCCGTAAGTTAACATAAGATTACATGTTTTTATATTTTCAATAAATATAATGGATTTTCTTGTCTGTAGACACTACGAAGCTGCTAAACGCGCAACGAAACATGTTTACAAAGTTGAACCAGACATGACATGTGAAGGCGGAAGCATTCCAGTTACTCTGACTTTACAAGAGACCACCGGCAAAAATGTCTTATTACTGCCAGTTGGATGCGGTGACGATGGCGCACATTCACAAAACGAAAAAGTCGACGTTCGTAACTACATTGAAGGCGTAAGTACTATAAAAAGAGGTGCAGACAATTTCAATGGAATTAAATTACGATCGTTTTTCTTACAGACTAAATTGCTTGGATCGTACCTTTATGAAGTTGGACAACTCTAAACACATTCAATTTCCAATTTATTGCAAACAATGTGAAAATTCACCTGAAATGAAAAACACCACATTTTTGTGTCAAACACAAAATGTTCAATGCATCATATAAAACTGTGAAGGACTATAGAAGAGAAAAAAATCATCACTTGAATTATTATTTTATTTTGCACAATAAACAAAAATATTTTTCCAAAAATTATCCAATTCTTGCGTTATTATTTACAAGAAATGAAAAATAAAATAAAAACCTAACATAATAGTTTCTATAATCAGAGAGTCTATCCAGTTTACAAACCATTTGGTTGAAATATGTAGAAAATCAAATAACAAAATGTCAAATCGAAAAATGTCAGTTCAATATCTCCTGCTGAGCAAAATGTCAATGGCACCTTTTTCTGTCTCTTTCTTGCTTTCGCATTGCGTTTGACGACTTTATTAGGGAAAAGAGTAAATTGTTTCTGTGTCGAGGTGTGGTATCAAAGCAATCTACATTCGGGATAGATTTTCTTTTCTCTTAATATTAAGTTAATTCTAGTGAAATAGTATTTATTTCAAACAAAAAGGGCAAAAAATGACTAGTCGTTTGCCTGCTTGTGTTGTTGATGTTGGAACTGGGTAAGTTATTTTATTTTCAATTGTAAATAATACACAGTGAACAAGCGAAAGAAAGAAAAATGGTGCAATGGTGATTTACTTTTGTTTACTCCGTAATGCGCATATTTTCATATGGTTTGAATTTTTCGTGTCATATTTTAGATACACGAAAATTGGCTATGCGGGCAATAAAGAGCCACAATTTATAATCCCATCAGCGATTGCTGTGCGTGAATCGGCCCGAGTTGGTGAGCAAACACTTCGACGAGTCGGCAAAAATACCGCAGACGATTTGGATTTTTTCATTGGCGATGAAGCATTTGACGTTGGCAAGACATATGCGGTGAAATATCCGGTGCGTCATGGTCTAGTTGAAGACTGGGATTTAATGGAACGTTTTATGGAGCAATGCATTTTCAAATATTTACGCGCCGAACCCGAAGATCATCATTTTTTATTGACCGAACCACCGCTAAATACACCAGAAAATCGTGAATACACCGCTGAAATTATGTTCGAAACATTTAATGTGCCCGGCTTATACATTGCTGTACAAGCAGTTTTATCGTTGGCCGCAAGTTGGGCATCACGTCCAATCAACGAACGTACATTGACCGGAATTGTTGTTGATAGTGGCGATGGTGTTACACACGTTATTCCAGTTGCCGAAGGATATGTTATTGGCTCATGCATAAAACATATCCCAATTGCCGGTCGTAATATCACCTCATTCATTCAGACACTGTTACGCGATCGTGAATTTAATATTCCACCCGAACAAAGTATGGAGACAGCCAAAGCAATCAAAGAACGATACAGTTATATTTGTCCAGATATTGTAAAAGAATTCACGAAATACGATAACGAACCGAACAAATGGATTCGCCAATTTGAAGGTATCAATTCAGTAACAAAGAAACCATTCAATGTTGATGTTGGCTACGAACGATTTTTGGGTATGCGCTTTTTTATTTTTAAAATTTCGAAAAATAAGCGTTTTAATTTTGTTTTTAAAATTTTCTTAATCGTTAGGCCCAGAGATTTTCTTCCATCCGGAATTTTCGAACCCCGATTTTACAACGCCTATCAATGAAATCGTAGATAATGTTATTCAGAATTGTCCGATTGATGTTCGACGTCCGTTATACAATAATATCGTTTTGAGCGGTGGTTCAACCATGTTTAAAGACTTTGGAAAGCGTTTACAGCGTGATATAAAACGGGCAGTCGATGCTCGTCTTAAAATAAGCGAACAATTGAGTGGAGGACGATTAAAAGTAAGCAAAGATTAAATGAATCTATTGCGACCTTAGACGAACACATTATTATTTCCACTAAATCTATTTTTCGTCATTTTTTCTACAGCCAACGCCAATTGATGTTCAAGTCATTTCACATCATATGCAACGATATGCCGTTTGGTTTGGCGGTAGCATGCTAGCATCCACAGTAAGTGTTTTGAAAAATTGCATCACATTTTTTTTTATTTACAGAAAATAAAAGTCAAATTTGTATTTTACAGCCGGAATTCTATGAAGTTTGTCATACAAAAGCAGCGTATGAAGAGTATGGACCGGGAATTTGCAGATATAATCCCGTATTTGGGACAATGACATAATCTAGTTAAAAAATTGCTGTGTGTTTGTGTTTATTTTAGAATAAACAGAAAAAAACTGCCAATTTGTCATAAATATTATAATTATAAGAATAATTTAAAACGAAACAAAAACAAAACTAGTGAAAATCACAAGCAACTAAGTCTCAGCTATACCGCAATATTAAAACAAGAATGTATGAATTATAATATATAGTTTGAAAATACTGAATTTACCAAATCTACACAAAACAAATATATTGAAAATGAAAAAAAAATCATCCGCATCATTTCTTTCATTTAGCATTTAATTTTTGGATGAGACCCTCTGCAGCGTTTGATTGCATCGATTTTTTATTTGAGGTTATGGTTGCCAAGTCTATTGTATTGCATCTGTCAAAACAACACAACTTCAGTTCAGTGCGTTGGTTTGATTGTATGTTATACATACGTAGCATTAATCTTGATTTGTGTATCATCAAACTGTGACACATACTTTTTTTAGATACAGAGGTGTGGTGTAAATAGAGTAAAGAATTTGTCGAAAGTTTTCATTATTTTTCTTTTTGTTTTTGACAAAAAAATTTTTGTTTATTATTCAAAATGACCGGACGCTTGCCAGCTTGTGTTATTGATGTTGGAACTGGGTAAATAGTTTGTGTGAAAATAAAACTAAATTGTTCTGAACTAAATTAAGAAGAAAAAAAACATGCAACAAATTTTCTTTTAGTTATACAAAAATTGGGTATGCTGCAAACAAAGAGCCGCAATTTATCATTCCATCAGCAATTGCTGTGCGTGAATCGGCTCGAGTTGGTGAGCAAACACTTCGTCGTGGTGCAAAAGGTGCCGATGATTTGGATTTTTTCATCGGCGATGAAGCATTCGATGCCACCGGCTATGCCATTAAATATCCAGTGCGTCATGGTCTAGTTGAAGATTGGGATTTAATGGAGCGTTTTTTGGAGCAATGCATTTTTAAGTATTTACGCGCCGAACCCGAAGATCATCATTTTTTATTGACCGAACCACCGCTAAATACACCGGAAAATCGTGAATACACCGCTGAAATTATGTTCGAAACATTTAATGTGCCCGGCTTATATATTGCTGTACAAGCAGTTTTATCGTTGGCCGCAAGTTGGGCATCACGTCCAATAAACGAACGTACATTGACCGGAATTGTTGTTGATAGTGGTGACGGTGTTACGCACGTTATTCCAGTTGCCGAAGGATATGTTATTGGCTCATGCATAAAACACATTCCAATCGCTGGCCGAAATATTACTTCATTCATTCAGAGTATTTTACGTGATCGTGAATTAAACATTCCGCCCGAACAGAGTTTGGAAACGGCAAAGGCGATCAAAGAGCGTTATAGCTATATTTGCCCAGATATTGCCAAAGAGTTCGCCAAATATGATAGCGAACCAAACAAATGGATTCGTCAATATGAGGGCATCAATGCCATCACGAAAAGACCATTTAACGTTGATGTTGGCTACGAACGCTTTTTAGGTATGTAAACAAATTAAAGATTTCAAGGTCTACATTATGAACGATTTATAATGTTTATCGGTAATTAATGCAAATTTTTGTGATTTTTTCTAATAGGGCCGGAAATTTTCTTCCATCCGGAATTTTCGAACCCCGATTTTACAACGCCGATCAATGAAATCGTTGACAATGTCATTCAAAATTGTCCAATCGATGTTCGACGTCCATTGTACAATAATATCGTGTTGAGCGGTGGTTCAACAATGTTCAAAGACTTTGGAAAACGTTTGCAACGTGATATTAAACGGTCGGTTGACGCTCGCTTAAGATTGAGCGAAAGTTTAAGTGATGGACGCATTAAAGTAAGTGACAAGATTTTTCTTTTTCAATTTCATTTCGAGACAATGAAGACTAACTGTTTGTTTACTAATTTAGCCAAAGCCAATTGACGTTCAAGTTATTTCACATCATATGCAACGATATGCTGTTTGGTTTGGAGGTAGCATGCTTGCATCCACTGTAAGTATATTTAAAGAGAATAGAAAATATTATTTTAATATTTGCAACTTTTGGCAAAGACTTCTTCAATACTTACTTCTTTATTCTTTCGTCCACTTTTTATAGCCGGAATTCTATCAAGTTTGTCATACAAAAGCAGCGTATGAAGAATATGGTCCTGGAATATGCAGACACAATCCGGTTTTTGGAACAATGACATAAAAAGAACCAAGCAAAAAAAGAAAACGACTTGCATGCAATTTTGCTATGGCGTTTGTTTGAAGTAAACATGCTCAATCATAATCAATTGTATTGACTTTAGTATTAAGAGAAAAAAAAGGAAACATTGTCTTGTAAACAGTGATACGAATCAATTTTTGATCGTTTTTTTTTTCTATTATTAATTTACAACAGAATAATAATAAAATTAAAAAGAAGAATTGTATATTTTTATACCGAACCTTCTGCGAATTGCATTAATTGAAATAAAGAATGTTTTTTTTTCTATCAATTGAAATTGAAGTGATCAATTTTAAAATTCGATTTTACGGATTTCTTGTGTATTTGTATTCGTCGGTGAACTTGAGAAAGTGCTGCAATTCATGCTGATAATAATATATTTGGAATATGATTAAAAATACAATACGCACTATACGACTATATAACCCTTCTACGCAATTATAATTGTATACTTTCTAAGCAATCTAACAAATATCACAAAAGTGATGAATATCATTTTTTCCCGTGAATGGTCAACTTGTTTGCATCTCCAATTATAAGATATCAAATTTATTCAAATTATTTTTTTAGCAAGTTTGGCTATAGAGTAAATAGTTGATTACAGTAATCAAATGTAAAATTTCTATAGCGCAAGCACGTTCATTGTAAGGCCATGGAAATTGCTTGAAATACATTTCAATAGAATTTTTGCATTGTTTGTGCCATACTGCTCAATGTAATAATAACCTGGAGGAAGTGTGTAATACAGTTGATACAAACGATTCTTCAACACGTGAGATGATAGCGATTGGATGCCCAAAAACGAAATGTCCGAAAAACAATCATCATCCAGTCACGTTTTGATGTTTCCGACACTTAGCTTAAATAAACTTGAGGAATAAATGCCATTTGATTTGATTGAATTACAAAATGATCACTTTATTAAATTAAATAAGATCGAAAAATGGTTGATTTTGAAATTAAAAGTATGCGAATAATTAGTATTCAAATCCGGCTCCAACGGCACCAACTCCAACGCCACCATATCCACTTCCACCATATCCGCTTGCACCGTATCCACTAGCGCCATATCCACCATAGCGATTGTAAGGAGATGCGCTGTATGAGCCGTATCTTGATCCATATTCATTGCCGAAGCCATTTGAATAAACTGGATCGACAGATGCTACGCCTCCGATTGAGCCAGCGTATGGGTTACCAAATCCAAAACTTCTTGGATATTGTTGTCCCAAACCAAATGCTACAAGAAAAATAACAATCGATTTAAAATCCAATTCCATTTCGTACAATCACATTTTGTATTTAAATCACGTTTGAAATATTCAATACATACACAAACCATAGGTTGGCAATGCACTGGTCAAGCACAAACAAAATGTAACGAACAAAACGGCGATGCATATTTTCTACGAAATTTGAAATTCATTATTATTTGCACATTTTTCAGTGTGTACACAAAATACAAAAGACACAAATCACTCAAATCAGTCGTCAAACATTTATTTACCTGATTCATTTTGATGGCGATTAGTTTTTTTTCCCGAATAGACAAGCGAAATAAATAGATAAAATAAAAATATATATATTCACTTAGATGCGATCTCAACGAAATGTTTTTAGCGAGTGTGATCGGTGTGATCTTCGACTGAGTCTTATATAGCGAATAAATATCACATCGCCCAGCCCAAAACCGAAAATAAATAAATCATTTTCAGTGAGCTATAGACTAATCAAATACTAGCCAGAATGAAAGCCAAAATATAACGTGTCTACGTGAAGTGATTACTATGAGGCCAAATTGTACATGCCGCATCGCGCGCGCACGATCCCCTCTATTTTTGTGCTATTATTTTTTTTTTTCTTTGCCATGTTCTATCCGTAGATTATTCAAGTTCGCAAATAAAGAGAGAGAGAAACGCGTGCAAACCCTTACATTTATGATTTTTCAGCAATTAATCTCGTTGGCTAACTCATCATTTTGTTATGAACAAAAACGAATCTAACATTTTAATAGCGTTGTTGTTATTTTAGTCCGGGATTATGTTCAGTGCTGCACAAATGAAAAAAATCAACAACACAATTTACTATGATTAATCAATTCTAATAATTCACACTTCGAAACGAAAATCAGTATCGTGAAAAGAGGAACGGCGCAAAACCACAAACACACACACACACACCAATCACCTATTTAGTCAGCGAGATGATGATGCTCCATTACATTCGGAAAATGTTCTGGCATTCGTGGTTATTGTTGTCTGTTTGTCATGCGCGTAACAATTATGAAGCAAAACAATATAAAAACAATTACAATATAAATCGTTCAGCGATGATCATCGTTCAGTGATCAGTCATAAATATTCTATTCAAATCGTTTCTTCTATCTCATCAAATTACCTGTATTGTTACTTGTCACTTTTGCATCTCAATCATTTTTCTACCAAGTTTTTTTCGATTTGAACGATTTTTGCGAGTGGTGATATGTAGCACACGCTCACACAGCATAGTGTATATAGCAATTGCTTGACCTTCTTTGCTTCCGTGAACCAAAAAATTGACACTGATGATGTGACGTGATCTGATCTGAGATATTTTGGATTTTCCAAATGACGTATTCGCAAATACCGACCATTTAGCACGCAGTGACATGTGTATTCGTCATTTCGGACGACTGTCATAATTGTTAAAGCAAAAAAAAAAAACAGTCAAAAATAAAGTTTAGTGAACTCTTTTTCATGACAACTTTTTCTCAATTGAGAAACACAGAGATCATTACATCGCATAGATCATTATCAGGGGATTAATTGTGAACTTGACACTTATCACAAAACATCGTAACAAACGGCATTAAAACCAATCAGTTAACCACAACATAAATATTTCATTCAGCACGCTATATCTTTATTATCATATCAATTTCGATTTGAATACAAAATAAACGACACAAAATTCAGATTAGAAAATTTGTGTTTTTTTTTCGTTTTTGAAAACAGGAAGGCATCCTTTAATATCAATTAGGTTTTTTTTAGTAGTATCCATATCCACGGCCATATCCCCCATAACCTGCGAATATTAGTTTAAGAATTATAAGCAAAAATTTACATACAATGACTTGTTATAAATAATTGTTACAACAAAATGGACAAAAACATTGTTTACAAACACGAACGATTTCAACGTTCACATCCGATTTTGAAGCGATTATGCTCAATGTTAAATGATTTGAACTTGTTTCGCTTTTTTCCTCAATTTTTTTCACTGTCGGAAAACTAAATTTCAAGTTTACAAGCAAAAACATTTTATTTTTAATTACCATAATCGTGGTTTCGATGATGATGGTGGTGTCGATGGTGATGATAACCTAGGTCAATGTAACATCAATTAACACATTACTTGTCGCAATGAAAAAAAAAGTATTATATGACATGTTTAACGGTAAATTGAATGAAATTCACAATCGTGTAATATTCTCGACAAGTGCACAAGAACATAGTCAAGTGTTAAATAATTAACAACTGAACATAGTTCAATATTTTCTCATTGATATTCACGATTCATTTGTATAAATTACACTTGGATTATGTTAAAAAAACTTGTTTTATCTGATTAAAATCAACGGCACTCATGCTTAGCATTTTAAATAGAAAAAGTGCTATTGAGAAATAATGCGTTGAAAGTATGTAAACAAAAATGATGATGCCGGTCAATTCCACTAGACTTATCGATATTGAAACTAGGTTGTGGACGTTCCATTGACTTGACATTAGTTTATTGCATTTCAAATATTTGTATATACTTTGGAGATAATGATACAATTGAAACTGCTGGGAAAATTGTAAAAAAAAACATTGCCGGCGGAAGGATGGCATTTTTTTGTCTCTACACACACAAAAAACAGTAGTAGTAGAATTGTTTAAATGTATTGGTATATTGCAAATTTACCAATAGTTGTTAAAATATCTATTGGTATTTTCATACAATCGTCACTACAACATCATAGTTGACACTTGTTTTGGCGCGATGGACCAAATGTCAACTGCGCTGCTGCAGTGACGATTGTATGAAAATACCAATAGATATTTCAACAACTATTGGTAAATTTGCAATATACCAATACATTTAAACAATTCTACTATTACTGTTTTTTGTGTGCATGATTGAGATTCATTCATTTCATCATTTCTATATTACCTCTTCCACCACCATAGCCATATCCGCCGCCATAGCCGTATCCGCCGCCATAGCCTCCGTACCCGTACCCTGGCGATCCGAATCCAATAACTAATTTAAAATTAAATAATACCGACGGTCATCAAAAGTACAAATGCACTGAATGTCATTTTTAATTTACCCAAATATTGTGGATTGGCCGATTCGGCTGTGCTCAAGTCATCGGATTCAAGTTCTTCGATTTCCACTTGATCATTGTCTTGATCGACTTCCGGCACAGGTATAGCTGAATTGATGACCGCACTTGAACAGAGTGCAACAAAGCACACGAGGAAGAATATTAACTAAACCAACAAAATAAACATCTTATGAAATTTTCACAGAATTCAATTTATCACCCAAAAATGACAACACAAACTAGAAAAAAAAATATCGCCCGCCAAAACAGCAAACACATTACATGGCAAAATAAATAGCACAAAAATCTACCTTAATCATAATTGTTGGTTCTATCAATTAACACTTTTCTGCTCGACAAAAATGACGTGCTACTCGTTATTGAGGTTGATTTCACTATGGATCGACTCGATGTGCAATGTCCTTTTATATATTCTCTTAGTAATTGATTTTATGACAGGAATTCACCGTGGCGAAAAAAGACGTCTCCAATAAATGCGTTTGTGTAAGTGATATGCAAACAATGTTGTGAAATGCGAATAAAAATGTTGTCGAGAATATTCAATACAATAAATTCAGATTCTATGCACAATGCACATATATTCTAAACGTTTATTATTGCTAAAAGATCATCATTCGTGTGTGCGTTGCATACAGCGAGATGAGATCGACGACAATTAGACAGTCGTGAGGCACCGATGAAATGATAATAACACATGAATCACTTTTTTCTCTTTCTTTTTTTCATTTTTCAATTAAATTTCCTTGGGTTAAGGTGAATTTCAAAAGCGCGCTCGAATTCTGATTTCATCATGTCATTTTAAAGATAGAAAGAAAGACAAAACATGCTTTGTAGCAAAAAAAAACAGAAGTGCTCGTTATTTATTGATGTAAACAAAATGTTTCGTCGTCCGAATGTACGTTTTTAGTGCGGTTTCGGACATCGACACATATTCTCTTCTTGTCCATATACAATGCAAATGCGATATGTACACACATTGTACACACGATGTTTAAGATCTCACCTTTTTTCCACTCTTCGTTTCATTCATTCAAAAGCGTTTCAAAACGACAAAGCACTCAAATCTTTCGTTTGAACATACTTGACATTGAATTTTATGTACGCAGCAAGTAATAGATTTCTTCAAAGCAATGATATATAAAGCAGACAAGTTTTGAGTGCAATAAAATTTCATTGATAGTGATGACACAAAATTCCAAAGAGATGATCATCAATGATTCATCATTGATTCGTTTTGGGTTTTTTTTATTCGTTTATTTTTCTTCGTTCGGGGATGATTCTGCGTAATAATAATTTGTTTTCATATTTAGCACAAATTATATAGCCAACAACAATTGACAAACACACACGGTCCTCACATATAGCTGTATAGTTTTTTTTTTAGATTGATTTACCTTTTAGAACGCAAATTGTTTGGTTTATGTGTTGTTTGGAAATTCCAAGCGGAGACATAAAATAACAAATCGTTTGATTTAAATGAGTCGGAAACTTTTATTAATTTCATCGTACAAAAATATATATAAAAAAATGTTTACATTGTTGTCAGCCAAGATAGAGAGAGATTAGAGATTTGAATTTGAAATTTAGATGTTGTTGAATTTGATGAATTTTTCTGGTTTTGTGGAAAGGGTTTTGCCATCACAAATTGTATCGCCATTTATAATTGGCATCCGTATTGAGTAAGGATATTATGGTTGCATTCGGTAGTATTGTTCCTCTTAACGACCGTATCCTATTTTTTAGACCACATTAGACATATTCATCAACATATGAAATGTAAATACATTTAAATTTTCCAGTTGAAAAAATACTTACCGCCGTATCCACGGTGACCATAACCTTTTGAAAATAAAAAAAAGTTCATATACAGGTAAAAAAATAGTCTGACTATTTAGTCGAGCTAAATACGAAGATTATAGTCAACTTTAGTTTTAGATGACCACGTTTCAAATTAGTCTAGCCACTTTAAGTTGATTTAATTCATTTGCATTTCTCTGACTGTCAGTTGGTTTTTTGGACACGGGAGCATCACCCATTTCAAACTTTGGGATTTTGAAATAAAATTACTTTTCAACGAGTGCCATTCTGCAGTTTGTTTTATTTCATTTTATCTCAAAATTTGAAATTAATGACTCGGTTCTAAGTGAAAAATAAACGCAAAATTACCTCTTCCATAACCACCGTATCCACCACCAAAACCTAGTTTCAATGGAAAAATTAAAAACTTTCATATTTTCTCCGAAAAATTTTAGTTTAAAAAAAAATTCAAGCAAAACACAAAAAAAACTTGCCTCCTCTGTAGCCACCGCCATAGCCTGATTTAAATAATAAAAAAAAACATTTATTCTAACATTCTTGATGTCGAAATAGATTTTGAGTATTTGTGTCAAAATTAATTCAGAATTGTGTAATAATTTGATTTGAAATTTATTCACGATTTCTTTTTATAGTTTGGCGCAAAAATGTTATTTAAATCGATATTTAAAACTGGTTATCGTTATAATGGATGAAATCAAAGGCAAAGACACTACAGAATCTAGTGTGAAAAAAACACCTTTCAAATTTCTTCGAAAAATCATGGCACAATGAACTTTACATTTATAAATACATATTTATATATAATATTCGCAGATTTAAAAAAAACCATAATTACCTCCATATCCTCTTCCGCCGCTCCAGCCTAATATTGAAAACATTTGACAGTTTTACCGAGTTAATAAAATGTCAAGCAATAAACGATATTTAATTGGATGCCTTACCTCTTCCGTATCCTATAACGAAAATGTTTAAATACAATAATTGATTATATCAGAAATATGGATTGAAAGATTTCTTTAATTACCACCATAACCCCATTGAGCCGATTCGGCTGGTTCAAGACCTTCATCGTCGTTATCAACATTGTTGCCTTGACAGTAGACAATGGTAAAAACCAAACACAAAAATAAAAATACCTTTAAAACAAAGTAGAACAATAAAACAGTTAGAACGAACACTTAAAATTCAAAAGCATCGATTACAATGCCAGTAAACAAAATATTTCGACGCATTTTGTTCACTCTGAACTATTCAAAATAAAAACAAACTAAATGAGCTGAATTTGTTTACTTTCAACATCGTATTTGCAGCTCGCTCGTAATTCGGTATGCACGAAACAAAGGATTGTTTTGTTCTGATTGAAATTTGCACTGCCTCAGCTCAATTTAAAGACTTATTAAATCGTCCATCATAAGCAGGTTTCGCAGGAATTCAATTTATTTATAGAACTCTCGGCGCATTTAAATCTCATATTCGGTTCCATTAAATCCGAAATATTCAATCTGAATATACAAAATACATGTAGAAAAATCACTAAAAACCGCGATGTGTAATATGTGAGAAAAAAAAAGTTAATTGCAGTCGTTGCTTCTTTGAAAGCGCAAATTTCAAGTGATTGATAGGACATTAAATAAATCTTTAATTGCAGAAAGAAAGAGAGATGTAATACTTTGTCAACACACAAATGGTTTATTGGAAATTCCAGTGATAATACGATGACGATGACAGGTTGCGAGCAAAACCAAAACGTATACATTGCATTAAAATTGAATTCGACGGTGTGACAATGTCTGAAATGCGTTCACAATATTGAACTTGACTGGACGAAACAACTTTTGTCAAGAACAAGTATATGCGAAACGTGTGCGTGCATCATTTTGAACTTCATAGTGATCATCATCGGTGGCAATAGTATTTCCAAAAGTCACGATTCATGCTCTAACTTAAATTGACGCTATGTTGTACATTCGTTCGCAGTCTGTCAGTAGAATTTTCCAAGTATTGCAACAAATTAGCAAATTATCAACATTCATACTCTTTTCAGCTAATTACTAGAGAGAATTCACATTCATATTTGTTGTTCTCGTTAATGAACAAAGTAACCCAGTTGAATGTGTTATGACATGTATTTGTTTTGATTGAACGGGATTTCTCCCCTCGCGGCCAGAGAGAAGAGGCACAAATAAAATATGCAAACAAACATGATATATCCAATAAAATGTTAAACAATTGCAAAATTATCCCGTTCACTTTGATTAACATAAAAGGTGTTTCGGTGGCGATCCTGTCAACTTATATTGCAAAATCAGTCGTTTGAGTTCAAAACATCCGCCGAAATGTTTATGATTGATCAATAATAATAGATGTATTAATTAATTTGTTCAAATTGCTGTTTAAAATGCATGTAAAAGCGATTGCATTAAAGTCACTTGTATAGATTTCAATCATTTTTATATAGTGATGCTTTCGTGATAAGTACACCCATTCAAGGTTAAGCTAACAAAAGAAAACGATTTAATTGAGAAAATATTGAAGTAAGCGTGAATTGATGTTGCTTCTTATCGATTTGCTATGGAAATTGTTATTTCATGTAAATCACATCAATAGATCCGTATATATCTTTTCTCATTGATTTTGTATGAGAGTAAAAGAAAGAATTTTGGAGGTGAGTGAAATGTTTCAAACAATTTTCACTCTTTTGAGATGATTCTCGTCGGTGAATCACTGATGAAAGACATGTTGCGTTCGATAACCGATATTTATGAATATGGTATATCTAACTCAATTGCGTGATTTTCATCGAAAACGACGGAACGTTCTGGAATCTTTTCTTTTGTAAAAGTTGGTCAAAGTCTTGAAGAAAACTTTGAATAATGAAAGAGATAAAATGAATTGGACGAAGCCGTTTCCCAAAATTGGGCTTTGGATGCAGCTTTACGTAAACTGGGCGCTAAAGTATAATAGATTAATTATAATTAATGGATATAATTGATAAGGGTAGACCATTAAAATTGTCATGAATAGTTTTAAGTGATGTTAGACCACCATGGTGTTTTTTTAATTAATGAGAAAAAATTGGTCATTTCTTGACGTCAAATTTTTTAATTGTTTTAATTGTTATCGAAGAAAATTTTGCGACATTTTTTCAATTCATTTTTTTTAAATCAAAATGATCCATTCTACTTTTCATACAAACCGTTCAAATGATTCATTTTGTTTTTTTCTCAATAATTTTTTACAATACATTGCATAATATCTATTGTTATCAAGGGGCGAAGCAGTACTAGATTCAATTCTTTCAATTCCATTCAATTCCACTCAATTCTGTTCAATTCCAAACTAAATTCTGGTCCGTGTGTATTTTAACTCATTTACTTCAGCAAATTTTAAGTATTACTAGGAGAGTTTCATATAAAGTCACCAAATAGCAGCAAAATGGCACTTGCGTGTATTATTCACCAAGCGTGATTTGGATGATAAAGAATGTGATTTTTTTCATTCTGATTGAACCAGGCAATGAGCGCTAATATCGTCGATTTTTCTTTATCGATTCCACCAATAGGACATCTACTAAAAAACTCGCCGATTTCTGTTACTAGTGGTGTTTTAATACAGCTCGTGTAAACGTACAAAGGAACACACTGACTCCGATTCTGCGTATGCGTATGTATTACAAATTCTGCACTCAGTCGTCAATCGTAGCTGCTTGTGCAAAATTTACAATACATACGCATACACATGATCGGAGTCTGTGTGTTGTTTTCAATGGGAGGAAATGACAGCAAATTTCAAAATTGGCGCGCTGTTTAGTTTCGATTTGAGTTGTTAAATTACATTGACGTCCCCTTTGAAATTGGTGGCGCCACCGTCGGCTCAATGAGACTTGAAGTCTTCACATCCTGTCATTGGTTGTTTTGTATTAGTTCGTCTGTAATACAGCCATAGCCGTATAGTTCGCTTGAGCTGTGTCAAAGCAACAGTAGTATAACAAAAATCGGTATCTTTTTTAACAGATGTCGTATTCGTAGAATCGATAAAATTAATTTGTATGGGGAATATACGATACTAGTTCCCATCGGAACCAGGCGATACAAAAAATTGACCAGCATTTGAGAATTGAAAAAATTTTTTTTTCGTTTTTCACGATTTTTCACCATCTGGGAAGAATTGTATGAAAAACACGGAAGACCGCTGAAATGGCAATTACAAAATATGTACGGACGTAAGTCATGCCATCAATTTTTTGTATCGCCTGGTTCAATTAAAATCAAAAAATTCACCTTAACTAAAATTTGCTGAAGTAAATGAGTTAAAACACACGGACTAGAATTTAATTTGGAATTGAATGGAATTGATATAATTGAATCTAGTACTGCTTCGCCCCTTGATTGTTATCTATTAATTTATTCTTTTTTTTTTCATTTCAACGTTATATATGAGTTCCGATTAGTTTTAGATTATTATTTACCTAATAATTATAAAAGTACACGCTTACGTGTGTTTGTTCGTACACGCTTACGTAGTAATTGCACAATGTTTTGATTTAAACGGTGGACGCTGGTATCGAAGATTTTTTGTTGAAGATTCAACGAATACGACATCTATTAAAATACATAAAGATTTTTGTTTGTGTGTCCGTTTGTATTGCAAATTCTGCACTCAGTCGTCAACCGTAGCTGCTTGTGCAAAATTTACAACACACACGCATACACAGAGTCGGTGTTAGTACTAATAGTTTGCAATACAGCTATATAGTTCGCTAGAGCTGTGTTAAGACAGCAGTAGTAACGAAAATCTTTATTGTCTTTAATAGGTGGCGTATTGTTGAATTTTCAACAAATATTTCCATACAAAAAGTGCTTCACCAGCGCCCACCGGATTTAAGCAATTAAGAGAAAGACTTCGTGAAGTACCGTTCAGACACCAACTAGAAGTTATTAGCAATAATACCATACGCATATTGTATGCAGATAACTGTTAAAGTGTTGAGACTAGCTAAACTAAAAATGGTGTCTACCCCCTTGGTAGCATAAGGTACCCTCTTGGTTAACTTAAAAAATAATCAGAGAAACATCAAATCCAGATTGCCTTGAATACTCTCAGACTCACTTTTAAAAACAATTAACCGCTTATCTCATTACAGAAAAATGAAAATCAATCAACCAACCACGGCAACAGAGGTTTGTTGTTGTTATTGTTGTCGTTTATTCTTACTGAAAGCAAGCAGTGTACATTTACTACCGGTTTCACATCAAAACTGCAATAAAAGTGAAAAATTTATATCAGAGATTCTTCTCGCGTCTCGTGCAAAGTAATTACCTATTACGATTTGTATTTATATTTATTACGAAGGGGAAACAATCTTTACAACTTAATATATAATGTACTCAATGAAAATGACAAATACCTTTTCAATTTTAATGCGAGGTGTGTGCTAATGGGTGCGCTATAATGCTTTTTGATCATTTTTAAATGTAAAAAATTTATTTATTTAAATTAATTTCTTGAAACCATCTTCAAACTTGATAAAAAGCAGCGATACGAACCGAAACCAAACCATTTTTTTGGTTTCACTTAAAACCAAACCGGAGCAATCGGAACGTTCGAAAAATGGTTTCTACTGCAAATCGCAGTCTGCGATGAGCTGTGCTGTGTGCATAGCATCAACGTTGCACACTCATACATTCAAAGCATCGTCATTCACGTATACATAGCGTGAATGTATGTTCGCCATACAAACCATTTTCGGAACGTTCCGCTTGCTCCGTTTCGTTCAATACACAAATGAAACCAATTCGAGATACCACTCCGAAATCGGTTTGTATGAGAAATGTCAAACCGGTTCGCATCGCTGATAAAAAGAATTGTGAAAAACATATGTTATGCCACTTTGGTGTTTTATTCTATATCTTCAAACTAGTGGAAAATATCCATACATTTTTTTTTTCATAAGATAAAAAATCAAAACTTCAACTGACAATTAAACTGATCTGCTTTGAAAAAAATATCTACATCGAAAACCCATTTAATTCATATCTTTAAAAGTAAAAATAAACGATCATTAAGATATTTATCTTTTTTCATGCTGTTTTTAATAAAAACTTTTTATTGGTACTTTTGTGTAAACATTGCAGACCTTTATAGCCGTGATACAAATGAAATATAATACATAACTTAAGTCCACTTATTACAATTAGTAGAAATAGAAGATTATCCAATAACTGACAATACATACTCTATTAAAAACGAATGAAAAGTGGTCAATTTGAATATATTAATATTAATCTGAATTTAAATGTTTGTTTGTTTTTTGTTGTTGATAAAATTACCACAATCACCGCTAGAATCATTAAGATAATTGTTACCAATAGAGCCAGATTTTTTTATTAAAATTTCCGATGTATCTATTTCAACATCATAGCCAAAGTATATTTTTTATCTTAAATAGGTACCAATAATTTTTGGTAATAATTGCTAGAAAATTGCTCAGAATTTTCATACGTAGGCGACTATTTAAGTTTCTTCAATATGTATGTTTTAATATTGCCCGATGCAAACCATTGTCATATTCGTTAAGTTTAACATTTTGTAGCATAAACGTTCTCAGAACGTTTTGTCATTCGATCGTTATTTGTATTGTTTACCGTAACATGTAAATTGCGTCTCAGCCAAAAAATGAATTTTACTCGTGAACATTTTCGAGCGATTATTTTTTTCCACTTTCGATTGGGTGTATCACAACAACAGTGTTTTGATCAATTTCATTTGGCCTTTGGCGATGAAGTACCAAGTCTTCGGACAATTTATAATTGGTACAACGAATTCAAGCGCGGTCGCCTATCGCTCATCGACGAGTTCCGCGAAGGTCGTCCAAAATCAGTTGTTGTACCAGAAAACATCGATGCTGTCAGAAATATGATAATGGAAGATCGTCATGTAACATATCACGAGATTGAGGCATCTCTGGGCATTAGTGCGACCAGCGTATTTAAGATTTTACATGAACATTTAGCTGTCAGAAAGATTTGCTCTCGTTGGATACCACATAATTTGACAATCGCTCCAAAAAAGGCTCGTGTCGATTGGTGTAAACAAATGCTCAAGAAATTCAATCGTGGTGTTTCAAAATCCGTGTATTTTATCGTCACTGGTGGCGAATCATGGATCTACGCGTATGAGCCCGAAACTAAACAGCAGTCGACTGTATGGGTCTTTCAAAGTGAAGATAACCCAACAAAAGTTGTTCGAGCTCGAAGTGTTGCGAAGCAAATGGTCGCCTGTTTTTTCGCGATAAGTGGTCATGTGGCAACAGTTCCACTAGAGGCTCGTAAGACCGTCAATTCTGATTGGTACACCACCATTTGTTTGCCCGAAGAGTTTGATGAAATAAGAAAAAACAACCGCCGTCGCAAAATAATTCTTCATCATGATAATGCGAGCTCTCACACATCTCATCAAACAGTCGATTATTTGACCGGTCAAAAGATCGATTTAATGGGTCATCCGCCGTACAGTCCTGATTTGGCACCCAACGATTTCTTTTTATTCCCGAGCGTGAAGAATAAACTGCGTGGTCAACGATTTTCATCGCCCGAAGAAGCAGTTGATGCGTTCAAAACACACGTTTTGGAGATATCACTTTCGGAGTGGCATGAATGCTATGACAAATGGTTCGAGCGAATGCAAAAGTGTATTGATCATCATGGCGAATATTTTGAAAAACAATAAAACCATTTTCGATGAAACCCCATTGTCTTATATATGTTTTTGAAAAAACTTAAATAGTGACCCTCGTATTAACACAATGTCACTGATTAAGAGTGTAAACAAATGCAGCGCCAGTTCATACAGAATAACGGTCATTGGCCGATTAATATACCCAAATAAAACCGCACATTTATATATTATACTTTGAGAACTGGTTCTTCGCACGATTTTGTTTTTTAATGATTAACGTCTTTCGTGAACTTTGGTTATTTCATTGAATGCATTCCTTCCAGCCAAAAATAAAATGATGAGAGTATTAATTTTTTTTGCGTTTTAAAATGCGTTCATCTGGATAACGTTGGGCGATGACACGGAGTGAAAACAATAGAAGTGATTGTTATAGTTATGGTAGTATTTTTATACCTACACAATACAACAATCACTTCTATTGTTTTCACTCCGTATCATCGCCTAACGTTATCCAGATGAGCTGAAATATCTAGATGAAAAAATCCAAATATATTGTCTAGTTTTAAGAGAATAACTTTATTGTACAAAAAAAGCCTTTAAAAGTATTTAAATATTATCATTCTTCTGAACATTGTTTAAGAAGCTAGCAATTTTGCTCCTCTTTAGATTTTTTTTTTGCCAATAATTTAAATATTTTGTGGGATTTTCAATTTAAAACCCCAAATTATGGATGGAAACATATCTACATTTCTATGATCTGACATTCGAAACATTGACTTGACATTTTTGTCTTTACAATGAGTAACTCGGAAATGTATGTGTAATATGATTGATTATATTTTCTAAAAGTCACTATCGACCAGGGAAATCCGAACATTATTGCTTATATGAAATTTTAGTAATTGTACGAAAGAAATGACGATTTCTTACATTTTCATGCATCAATTTGAGAGTGTTGCGTAATGTATCCATTTGGGATACATTTTATTTGTAATATTATATGGCAACTATTTGTGCAATGTTAATCGATTTGGCACAAAAATTACAATCACATGATTCAATATCCTTTCTTTTCATATAAATATAAACTTCTACAAAAGTTCATTGTTTGTAATGGTATGTTTTACTGTAAAAACTGCTCAATAGGTTTGTTTTTGTTTCTGGGTTATATTTACAAATAATAGGACGTAAACAAAGTTCAAAACTTGATTTCATGAAAGTGAAAATTTATTTTAAAGATTTGATTTTGTGTTTAAAATAATTTCTATTCGCTATTTTGCATTTTCATTGTCATAAATATTCATCATATTTATTTAAGAAAGGTCGCTTTTACGGTTGTCTTGGTCAAACGTAACGGAATTTTAGAATTGATTAAAAAAACATGTTGATCGATATAAATCAATGTGAACGTATGTGTGACAAACTATTTTTCTTTCAAATTGTGCAGACGAGTTGAATGACATTACGACATTTTTTGTCCCGTTCTTTCGACGGCACATACAAAATTACCTAAATGGTATTTATTTGACAAATATAACTCAAATCATTTTCATTGCGTAACACATGTTTGCATAATTTTTTTTTATTCAACATCTTATTCAATTCAAAATGAATTTTCAATTTCTTTTCCCCCAAAAATGGTCAATTTATAAAAAAAGAGAAAGTATAGAAAAAAAAAATGTTGCTGATTTTCATTAATTTTTGGCCATTTTTTCACAAATGACACGAAAATCAAATGAAAGCCATCGATATAAAAGCAACTTCATCACGAAAAATTTGATCAATAATCTTTTGTCAGGTCATTTGAATCAAGCGAAATTTTCTATAGCCATGTGGAGTGTGAGTTATTTTATTAATTTCAAAGAAACACATTTATCAATAAGAAAAAGCGTGAAAATTGTGTAAATTACGATTGAACAAAAAAAAATAAAAATAAAAATATTGTGTGTATTTGCAGAAATTGTTTTTGATTGCCATCTTAGTGGGTGTCTGCGTAGCCAAGCCATGCTCAGACAACGACCAATCATCGAACGTTCCATCCATTAGATGCCTTCCACCCGGTGCAATAAATAATTTAGGAGGACTACCCATAATTCCTTCACTTTCCTCGTCTGCAAATGGTATGTAACGGGATTATATTTTTTTGTATGTATTATTTTGACATTTACAAGATCAAGACAAAGGGTCAACACTTGACAAAAATAATCATAACGTCGTGCTTGTTCATATTTTGGCAAACAAATTAAATTTGAATTTTTTTTTATTTCCAATGTTCAAATCGAAATCTCTACTTTTTGTTTCAGATGATGATGGCATTCGAAAACCTTTATTTAATATATTTAAGAAAAAGAATCAAGACAGTGATGAATAAGGATAAGAACCTACCATTCATAAAACAAAATAAAAAAAAACTACATTCTCTGTGAGAAGATCGAGGAGAGATAATTTATTTTGAATCGATGTTTTAGTTTCATATAAATAAACGTTAGAAACAAAATCTGTGTGTGTATTTTTTACTTTTACAAACTTATCTGATTATTGAATTGCAAATTTTTAGCTTAAAATAAGCTTCAAGCTTTTAATCGCTTGTTTATAGCGTGCGGCAAAGTTTTTGTTTAAGTCATACCGCAAATCGCCTGTATTTCGATACAAACGGTGTAAATAAAACATGGTAAAGAACAACACTTCATTCAGTAAATTATCAGCATTTGATTGAATATGTGTGTTTTCGGAAATATTTACGTTTTATGCAATCGGCATATGTTAAGTTTTTGAATACAATGACTAAAATAGGTAAGACTGAGCGCGCTGACAATAGTTCGATCGTGAAGCTGACACAAGCAACAGAAGCAGTCATCAGTGTTGTTTGCATATTTACGTAAAGTAAAACGAAAAGAAAAAAGATATTGGATATATATTAATTTTAAGAAAAAGATACAAAACGAACTTACACAGAGATAGAGAGAGAGAGAGAGAGAGAGAGAGAGAGAGAGAGAAAGAGAAAGAAAGAGCAAAGAGGAAACCGTTGAAGAGCTCTTTTATTTATGACGCGTTGAATGCGAACCAATTGCTTAACGAACCGATATATCCAGAGAAAAGAATAAGAATAAATTTTTTTCCTATAAAACAACTGAAATAAAACCCAAATGAAATTTAAAAAGCAACAACAAACAAACAAATGAGTAGAAAAAGTAAAAATAAAGTAATTAAGTGTGCGTGCACATTGCGTCATTCGGTGTAACCAAATCGGCCAGAGTGTGTGTCTCTTACTTTCATTCAGTACAAAACAACACGTTTACTGGAAGACAGCTTGTTGATATTTAGCTAAAGTTTAGCTCACCAAAATCGCAGCTTCAACAAGTTGTCACAACAAAACGTGTGTGAATGTCACACGTATATCAGCTATTTTTGTTATGTTAAGTGTGTGTTTAAAACGGGCCATTTGAATCTGAAGTGCTTGGAGGCATCACATTCAAAATCCAAAAGAATAAAGAACAAACCATTTTAGGAAAATATCGGTTTTTATTTTCGAAAATCTTGAATCAAAGTTCATGTGTTATTGAATCAAAGTTTTAGTGCGTGTGTGAACTTTGCGATAAAACCAGATCCGGATTAATAATTTTTTTTTTTAATTTACCAGCGTAATTTTTTTTCGAAAGAAACTAATTGACTTGCAAAATGAAGAGTGCAACATTGAATTTGAATATTTGAAACAAATGCATTGTCGTTTTAATTGAAAATTCACTGGTGATCTCATTTGAATGCGCAGCCGGTATGCATATCTTTTGAACACTCACACATACACACAATCAGAATGAATTGAAAATAGATAAAAAAAATGTGCTTCGATGAAAATAGTCGGGGCTGCTATTGTTGCAGTCGAAAAAGTCACGACTACGATGAAACTACAAAGTACATTAGCAGCGATAATGAAATCATTGTAGTTGGTAAGAAAATTTCCAATTAAATAAAAAAAAAACTATTTCCTTCTGATCGATATCTCTGGTGCATTTTTTTGCTTTTATCTAAGCAATGAAGCATGAAACACCATTAAATGAATAGATTTAATTTTGTGATAAAATAGCGCACTTTTAATCGCACACCCGTTGAAACAAAACTTATGTGAATTCAAATCGAAATTGTTGTGTGCCAATACATATTTTGTTTTGTAACAAAACAGCATAAGAACAACGGCAAAGAAAATTTGAGGCCTGGGCGGTGGCATAAACAATTGTGTAGGTTTTATTTTGAAATTTCGTGTTTGTATAAGTAATTTGGCTTTTGACCATTTATTCAATTAATTTTGCATGTTTTGTTTCGATTTTGTTGCATTTAATCGAATTTACTGGAAAAAAAAATCATTTACAATGTGTTATGAAATGTATGAAAATCATGAGCTCTCTCATGAAAAACGTTCGATTTATTTATATGACTGATAATATTTCGTTTGAATGATATTTATTATTTTGATCTAAAGTATCTATCAGGTAATTACGTTTAAAAAAATGATGCATTTCACGTAATGTATAGAAACAGAACTTACGACAATCAAAAATCATTGACATCAGCGTCAAATTATATGCTCACACGATGATATGGTAAAAGGGCAATTCATTATTTTTTCAGTGTGGAATTGAAAACAATGTGTGAACATGGATTTGTTGTTTTCGATAAGTCTGCGGCGCTCTTTGTGTTTGTTTTTTTTTTCGTATTGTTCCTTTTCGGCAAGCAAATAGGTAGAGCGTAAACAGTTAAAAAAAAACTATGCTTAACCTTGAGAAATTCACTCTTCAAGTATGCTTAAGTACTTAATCAAGCAGCAACTTGTTGGTTTTCTTTCATCGCGCTTACACAACACAATACATTACCTCGACCAGGTTTATTTTTTGGCTGTTTTCATATAATTCTCTTTTTTCTTCATTTTCTTTTACAAAATGTTGACAAAAAAAAAGACGGTTCCATGACAATTTATCATAATCTATAATCCAACGTTGAAATCTGATCACAATGCCATATTTCTTTGGACTTTAACATCATTTTCGAAAGTCAATCTATACAGATTAAATAATTTACCTCATCGTCACATTTTGTAATTCTAATTCTTGACACACATTTGGCGTGCAAGATTTTAACTACCTGAATGTCTCTTTTTTTCTTCGATTTTACTAGCACCGTACGATTAATGAGGCCATAGACATATCGAATGTTTATGTATCGCAAAATACAATTCACCAGATGAATTGAATCTCAACGTGAAAAATTTGAAGAAAAAGAAAAAAATAAAACTTATGAACAATCAAACAAATTGTTTTAGTAATGAATTCACATTTGTTATATTCATTTTTTTTTTCTCGATAAAAAAATGAGTGCACAAGGTTTTTCGTAATATACGAACAAAAGCAAATTCCACAAATCTCGCATAACATTTAATTTACACTCATATTTAAGTCATATAATTTTTTTTAAATTTTAGTGGCCGATCTTTCTATTTCTTTCTATCTTCCTCTCTTTCTCTATGTGTCGCTGTCATTCTAATTGCATGTACATTTTGAAAATTGCAGAGCGCCGGTATGGATGCTATCGTTTGGGTATATTCGTTGCGATAATTATCGTTTCATTGCTAATTTTGGGTACAATTCCAGTCACACTTACCGTAAAAAATAATCAAATACTGTTGATTTGTTTATGTAGCACATTAGTCGTCGTTACAATTTTATTATCGTTGTTTATTGTGTGGCAACAAAGACAGGCGAAACGTCAAAGAGAGCGCAGCACGCGACCGTTCATTATGCAAAAACAAAACAAGGTAATTATAAATGCTCTCTTGTACCGATGTAAACAGAAGAATACAGACAGATGGGCAGACAAACACTGCGCCGATGATTGGATTCAAATTACATTACACATTCGAATGCAATGGACTTTATTTATAGATTTATTTATGCTCTATTTCTTTGTCATTTTCCGTCCAGAATGCCATGTATACGTCGGTGCCAACAACGTCATCATCGTCATCGCCATCAGCTCGAACGTCATGGATGTTTTGGCAAAACAATAAAAATGACTTTGTAGACCATCCGTTGCGATGTCAATCGATCAAACATAATCCCACAAAGATTTCATCATTGCAAGAGGTTTCGGAAGCACCACAATATACAACAGTTGTATAGCTTAATATATTTTATACATGTATAAAACTAATAAAAGTCTCTTTTAATAAAAGACAAACCAGCTGTTAAAGTCAAATATTGTTGTTTGTTTTTCTTTTGTTTGTATAGGTGTATTTGATTTCCAGATCGTTTAAAATACCGTTTGCCCATATGAAAGTGCAGTTTGTAATATAAGAATAAAAAAAAGTTTCAATAAAATTCAACGAACCGTATGTCGACATATTATCATCTATTGTTATCCATTATTATTGAATGCAAGTACAAAATTACCGAATTGTTATATGCGGCATTTCATACATGCATCAGCTAGGAGTATTCGAGATTGGAGCAAATTACGTTCAAAAAAACTGCTGTACTTTCTTTTTAAATAGCTGCCTGCATGCAATGATTACTTGCAATTACACATAAATTTTCATTTACAAATTGAATGTCATATTTGCATTTGATTTTGTCTGTTTGCCCAATTTATGTGATGTGATTTTCTTACGTTTGAAATTGTCCTTATCTTATCATCTTGGAAACTTATGTGTGTGAACGTTTGTTTGTGTGTATGTAGCTAAGTTGATTCCATCTTCAAATATCAATTAATCTTTATTGATCTCTGCTGATTTTACATGTTTATTTTACACTAACTATTTAGAAGATTTGATAATTTGTTTGTTACTCAGTCCAACAAATAATGTTTTATTAGTGATAAATTACGTAACAAAAGACGGTAAAAAGACAGAAAAAAGAGGCGGTGTAAAGTAATTGCGATGCATTTAATTAGTATCCGATTTCTGATGGTTTGATACGTAAGATTACAGGAACACCTGAAATAAAATGAAATAAAATCGCGGGTGGTAAATTAGATAAAAAGTGAATAGTGAAAAAGAAGCGTTATTCAACATACTTGTACACGGAAGAATGGCCACTTCTGTGACAACAGCCGATACCAGTTCGGGCGGTGTTACATCGTAGTACAGGTTTAATGGTGTCAAATTCGGCACCGACTCCCAATTAGCAAGCGGTGAATTATTTTCATCTGATTTAACTACGTCATATGGATTACCTAAACAATGAACCGACAAAGTAAAAAAAAAAAATAAAACAATTTTTTTCATTTTCTTCTTGTACATAAATGCGCGATGAATCGACATAAATTAAATTGTTTGCAATGTAAAATATGTAAAAAATGATGATTATGATGAAACAATTGAGTCATAAGTTAAGACTCACCAATTTCATTGTAAACAAATGCATCCGTTTGAACTCGTTCGCTGAATTTATGTGTTTCACAACACACTAGCACGGGAACATTATAGGATTTGGCTATTAAGGCTATTTGGGCTGTTCCAGCTCGTGACATTACATATCCATTGGCTAATAGTGCATGAGCGCCGAGTAAAACTTTTGTTACCTGTTACAAATCAAAAGCAACAAAAAACCTCTTTTAAAATATGATTTTGAACAAAATAAAACCCACCATCTCCACACTAATGCAAAAATATTGGGAAAATGTCACTGCAAGCAAATTAATTACCTCGGGCATAATAAAACCGGCCGCATTTATAAGAACACAGGTGCATTTGATATTTTTGGCAACGAGACGACGCAGCATTTCTTTGCCCTCATGCCATGGTCGAGCATCGACCACAATGACACGGAAATTTTTACTCTTTTTTGCTTCATCCAATATATTCAAAATGACCGATGAACAGCCAAATGTTAAAATCACATCACCATCTGATATTTTTTCCTGAACCTTTAGACTAATCGCTTCGGCCGCTTTATCAATTTGATCACGTACATAAGTGTCAATCGATTCCAATAGTATTGTCTTCAACTGTTATGCAATGAAAATATAAAAATGATGAAATATTTAAATGACATTTGCCATACGCTTTTCGCGTAATGTTGAAATTACTTACCTCAGCATCTTTTTCCGATTTGGGCAATTGCCGTAAATGAAATTGAATTGATTTCATTGCGTTCGTAACGGACACGGCTAGCGGCCGACATTGTTGTAAATATTCGATACATTTTTTAATAACATCTTCTAAACTGCGTGAAAATTCTTTCTGTGATGGTGTCTCATATTCGGCAATCATTTCTTTCATCGCGCTCATAAATGCCAAACCACGTGCATTACATCCTTTTACAATGCCACTTGAATATTGCACACCAAGCCGAACAATTGCCGGATGAATGGTGCCCGAATTGAGTACATTATCGCGTGATATATTTGTATACAAATGATTAAATAGTTTAACACGATGCAATTGCGGTTGTGATCTTCGGACATTGACTTCTTTTGATGTTGATGGTTTGCATGCGTCTTTGGATGTCGATGGTATTGGCTTTGTGCCGGTAGTTGGCTTTGTTACGGACGTTTCTTTTTTCACTGTTTGCTTTTCAGCATTTTGAGCCGGTTTCTCAGCCACTTTAGCTGCTTTGGCTGCCCGCTGTGCTTCTTGAATAGCCCGTCGTTCGGCCTTTGATAATTGTTTCTTTTCAGGTTTTTCATGTAACACACTATTACTTGCTTCACTTGTTTCATTATTAATTTTTAGTTTATCTAGTGCTTGTGTTAGTGTATTCGAATTTGTTGGCTTGTTTTTCTCTTCAACGTTCCCGTGCTTTTGCGTTTTACGGTGCAAAATTTGATTCGAACCACTCGATTCACCTTTTGAAGTTGTTGTTTGATTCACCACTTTTGTATTGCTATCCGATTTTTGATCTGACTGCTGCTTGTCATCAGCATCTTTCGGTAAATTTCGACATTTATCTTGTACCTTCTGCTTGGCCGACAATTTGGCAAGACGACGTGCTTCACGTTCTTTTTTTACCGCATCACGATCCACAACAGGTTGGCTCTTCTGCTGTTGGCCATCAGCTGAACTCGTATTTTGCTCTATTGGTGCCATTTTTCCTGCAATAAATTTTTTTTTATTTTTTTTTTTTTAAATTTTTCAAATGCATTGGCGCTCTTTTGAGATATGCATCTTACGATAGAAATATCTATGAAATATGTATAAAATTGTTGTTGCACCAAATATCGAAAAAAGTTTGAAATGCATGACACACAATTCGATGGATCAAATGACAAAACAAAAATCAATTAATTTAACAGAATCTTTAAAATAATTCAAGAAATGTAATAAAGCATCTCAATTGTGAAATAAAATTCGAATTGACTGCACCTAAATATAACTGAATACATCAACATCGAACGAAATTTCATAGTAAATTTGTCACATTCACATCACTTTCATTTGATTTTGATGACGAAATAAATGAAGAAAATATTCAAAGTAGGGAGGACCAAAACTATCGAACTGAAAACCGATTTAAATCAAACTTACCTTAGATTTTATTTTAATTTTTTTTTCTTTCTTTTCAAATAAAAAAAATTCGTCGTCACCGTATGCCTTGAATGAGTTTACGATTGTAGTAGGTCGTATTGCAACTTTCCTGCGTTTGTTGTCCACATGTAAGTTGTGTAAATGTGTGTCTCAGTAGATTGCTTTTACTCCCTTTGTTGCGGGCACACTAATGATATTGCTATGCTGTCAAACTCAATCGAACTGTCAAAATCAACATGGAACAACAACAATTTACGAACGTAAACAACATTCATATTTAATACATTTTTAAAATCAAATTCATTGTAATTTTAATTGCAAAAAATTTTGCACATTGAAATCATCATTTTACAATCGAAAAAAAATCATTAAACATTTATTTTTATGTAAACGCAAATAAAATGCAATATGCGATTATATGCATGGGAAATAGTTCGGTATTGCAGTTTGTTCGGTATTCCGAGCGACGTTTGACAGTCATTCGCCTGCCTATACATCAGACGAAGAAATTACGCAGATGCACGCCGCGAATGCATAGCGAGTGAAAATAGATTGGCGAAATAAATAACACACATCAAATCTATCTTCTAAACACATATTTAACGCAGAACCAGTTTGCTGTGACTGATAAAATTGCATGTTGCGGATATGTTACATGTGAAGTGAAGAATACAAACAAAAACTGAGCGAAGAAAACTATTAAAAGAGAGAGAAAGAGTGAGACAAAGGCATGCGATAAAATTAGAGGGCTCGAACTAAGCAACAAGAAGAGAGAAAAATACGAAACGCATTTTGTTCATTCCAAGAATGATGGACCATATTTGGAATATTTTTAAAAAGACGAATCGAATCAATAAGTAAACTGTATATGCGTTTTTGAGATTTTTTATTGTTGCTGAATGTTAGTGTACGACAATTATCAGAAGTGACGCAATTACCAAGAACAAAAAAAAAAATTAAAGTGTAAGAGAAAAAAAAATTATTGTTGCTTGAAAGTCAAATTAACACACTTTGTCAGCGCGTTCATATTGCGATAAATTTTTGACGAGTGCATGTGATGATAGCAAAGTAACACAGTGAACTCAATATGATCGATTTTATTCTTCTTATTCTTCTGTTTGTCTGATTTTTTTTTGATACAGAATACATGACACACGATACATTCAACATGGAATTCTCCGAAAATTTAGAGTCATTTAGTCACTTTAACAATGACCCATTCGGTAATTTACTCGACGAAGAAATTCCGCAAAATATTTTCGATGAACTAATGAACGATGTGAATTGTAATGCGCTTGGATTTGACATGAATTCGATATCGTCGGAAGACAGTGGACGATCGAGTTCATCATATGACGATTTAGGTTCCAGATTAGATACATTTAGTGATCAAGCGATATTGGAAGTGCCTCAAATTAAAACCGAAATCATACAGCAAGAGCATGTCAAAGATGAACCAAAATCACCGAACAATAATTTTATGTGCGGTATAAATGGTATTGGTAATGATAATGCCGCTATGAATGTAACCGTCGAACCGACCACCATCGAAGTGTCACGACCGATTTTTCCACGGCAACAACAGCAACAAACGTTTACACAAATTCAACAGCCACAATTTGTACTTTCACAACCGAAAATTGTGGTGAAACAAGAGCCCATTAAGTTTCACACGCAATCGAATGCGACACAACAAATATTCACATTGCAAACGGTGAATGGACAACAATTTGTGGTTACAAATTCAAATCAAACACCTGTACATACGATTGTCAATGGAACCACCGGAATTTTAACAAAAATTCCAGTTGTACCAGTCACCGGCATCATACAACATCAACCAATTCCAACACCAAAAACAACGACAAATATGACAACGGTAGCGATACAATCATCAACCAAGTTGACAGCTAAGCCCAGCATAACACAGACCAACATAAAACCGAGCAAAAAATCTGGACACAATATCATTGAACGACGATATCGAACATCAATCGTAAATACATTGACATTTATTTAGCATTTTTTCTGTTTCGTAGAATGACTCTTGCAAAAATACAATGTGCTTTTTTTCGTTTTCAGAATGACAAAATCACAGAACTTAAAAATCTAGTAACCGCTGGCACCAATGCAGCCAATGCCAAAATGAATAAGTCCGGTATATTGAAGGTATGTTCGATTTTTTTCTTCTCATCAAAAGTTTTACGGTTTTGTTATAAAATAAAATGGTGTTCATTAAATCCGTAACAGAAATCAATCGATAAGCTTCGTTCGTTGGAAATTGAAAATGTTGAATTAAAAATGGAAAATCAGCGATTACGTCAAATGCTTGGCATGAAGGCAATTTCCGAATCGGCTGATTCACCATTATCACCGCCAATATCAAATTCCAGTTCGCCCATGCCATCGTTGGACACAACACAAATGAACATTTCCGAACCAATAGCTGTTACACCAAAAACAAACAACGAGACTGATCACAAGGTGGTCTTTATTCAACGTGGCCTCAGTCCTCATTCCAAATTTGCATTATGTATTTTTATGTTTGCCGTCGTTAGTTTAAATAGTTTCGGTTCACTCATTCTTAACGATCAACGTCCGAACATTGATTACGCCGATGGCAAATATAATATGGAAACGGCACGTCGAGCTATTTTATCAACGATAATTGATGATGTAAGTATTTAATCTTCCACCCCGAAAAAAAATTATTCAGAAAAAAATTAAGAGAAGTTTATTAATTGAAATAATATCTTTTTCTCTTTCAGCCATACACAATGTTTTTCAATTGGAAAAATTTGGCAGTTTCTGCAGTAAATTTTCTCATTGTGGTGGCATGTTTAATAAAATTATTAGTCTATGGAGAGCCAATTGTTGATCGTACCCATTGCAAATTGAATAATATGGAAAAATTGGTGCAAGCAACCGAAGAAAATTTCAAAAGTGGCGAATTAGCTGCCGCTACACTTGGATACATGCGACAATTACAACAGTATGGATTATATTTGCCATCATCGATCAGCATAACATGGTTTGAATGTATGTCATACACAACTTGGCAGGCAATTCGAATGTTTATATTTCGATTGCCGTTCGGTCTATGGTTGTCACACAAAGTGGGCGGTTTATTCTGTTCAAAAGATGCTCGTGCCCAAGCAATGAATACATACAAGGAAATTGGCTGGATTTTGCATCGTTTAAATCAAATCGATTTGATGGAATTGCAAAAGAATTCGACGACAGCCGAACGGATATGCAAACGTCGTCAAATTTATGGCATTATGGTAAAATTAAGGGGCAAATCACTTAAAAATTACTTATTAATTATTATTGATTGTTTTACATCGATTATTTTAAATTTTATTCTTTTCTTTTGTGATTCTCCCCTTAGGTAACACTGTATGCGGTAAATATGTGCGAAACAGCAGAACCACTAATGTATACCAAAGAAATGGTTGAAGTATATTTAACCGTGGCATTGCGTCTAAAATCAATGAAAAATTTACGCCTCTTGTCATCGTACTACTTGCGAAAGGCGAAATTTTTCCATTTGTTGGGCACAACACAAAATCGTCAATTCGATTGGGTGTTCAGCGAGCATGGCTATAAATTTGTATCAAAATTAAAGACAACCATTGAAAATATCGATTATGAACAACGTGAAAATCACATTGATGTCCTTGACACAAACCATATGAATTATGAGCCAATTTCACAGATTCAACAGCGCTACTGTAAATACTTGATCATCAAATCGTTGGAAAATTTGTTGGGCTTTAGACGAAATACCAGCACAATTTCGATGCCAAAACATACCGACGACCAAAATCAACCAATTGAACAGACACACATGATGAATGTATTGTTGCTAACAAAACATCTTGAAGAGACAATTGGCAACGATGTTGACAATCAATTTGCATCAATTTCATGGATTGCACGTATTATAACCGTTGCGGCCAATTGGAATATCAATAATTTGGAAAAATGTGATCAAATCTACGGCGCAATCGATGAATTTCCACAAAAAATGCGTGGAACAAAGAGCAAGGAAAAGGCATTGTTAAAGTCATTGTATGTGGTTTTCTTGGCAAAACGCGAATATGTGCATCGAACCAGAGTTGCAACAATGACTGCCGAAAAAATGCGCATCATTTTAAATCGCTGTAACATTGCCAGCTGCTTACTACAAAATTATCTAACATATAATCGATCACAAAACATTCAACCCAGTACATTGATTCGACTCATTCAAATATTGACGTGCGATTTGTTGCTCGACATTCGTACCGAATGCTGGGAATTGATGCAAAACACAACGGCAACCGCATCAAATGAATACGATGATGAAGGGATTAGTGAGCCATCACCGTCACGATTTTCACAATTGGAATTGTATCAACTCGATTTGACAAATTTGTACTTGATATTTGGTATAAAACAAATGGGACAGTCACGCATTAATTTGTATGAAGCCGTTTATCGATTGATGGCAAATGCTTTGCCATTGGAAACACACCGTTTGCTCGATCGTAATATAATGACAATGCGCCAGACAAAACAAAATTTAATTTGTGTCGTTGGCAACAAAAATAATTCAGACGATTTATATGTGTGCGGCGAACGAGAACGGGCACGTTCAATGATGTTGGTTTGCAAATATTTGCAAGCACAAGTTGGCATCGAACGGGCCGGTCTACTAACGCAGGCCGCAACCATATTCAAACAAATTGGCGACACAGTTAAAACCAATGAATGTCATCTTTTACTAAACATTATTAATGGTGAATAGGCTTAATTACTATACACGTGTGACGGAATGAATGATGCTCTCAAAGCGTAGAGATTTTGCAATTTATGGCAAACGTATTTCTTATATATATTTTTTTAAAAATGCTTTTTTTATAATTAAACGAATCAAGATATGAGATATATTGATAAACGAAAAACAAAAAAACACAGTTTAAAAAATATTACATTTTAGGTGGCACAATTGTTTGGCCATTATTATTATTATTTTTTCATCAAGCGAACAATTCATTTATAAGTTTGATATCATGTTGCTTATTCTAGTTGTAAAATTGTTTATCTTTTTTTCATAAAACTTAAGTTATTTATGTTCGCCTTTCGGCTCTGCCTAAAATGATAAGAAAGCAAGATTTACGCATCGTATCATCGATTGGTGATCATCGTATCCAATCATGCCCACAATAGGGACTCATTATCATTATCATCACTTTAATACAAAGAAATTATTAAAAAGTAATTTATTTTGATTGTTTGTTCATTATAGTACACCTTTTTTTTGTTCAAAACGGTAAATGAAAAGTCAGCAATAAAATCAAATCTGCAATACAAAAGAAACATTTTTAAAATACCTAAAAAAAAAATAAATACATTGGCAAACTATTTTTTCAACATAAAATTGTTTTGAATTTATTTAATTTGTGCTTGGGCGTTCTTCTTTGGACGGGTTTCGATGTTTTGGAAATGTATTTTCGACGTTTTTTTCTTCTCATTTCTTTCATCAAACTGACAAACAGTACGTGTGAACGATGCCTTAACTGTCAAACTATGGTGTAATTACACAAATTAACAATAGTACGAATAAAAAAAGAGACCACTAACTGTCACTGGCATTTCAGTGTATAATTTACTTTTGAAACGGGTTGTTGTCAAAATTGAATTGTGAAAATTATTGCAAAGTATTTACAAATCGCGCATAGTGTGTGCTCTTTATTATTAGGCGAAAGGGAGCTTTAGTATTTTTTTTATTCATTGTTTTTGTGGTTGTGATACTAAAAATGGATAACAATAGATATTATAGCGGTCACAATAGTAATGGTCATGCAAGCGATGATCCAGGCCCAATTCCAGACCGATGGCTAGAATGTCCGCGTATAGCAAATACATTCATTACCAGCAAATTTTTGGCATTCAAAACTCCATTAAGTGCACGTTTTTCATCAAAAATGGAACCAAAATACCATTTTCCACCCGAAATGGTGTTCGGATGGATGAGAATTGAAAAGGTAAATAAACGACCATAATCTTTTTCATCTACTCATTTTGAATGTGAATCGAATCGAATTCGAGCAAGACAACAAAACCAAAATAATAAAATCACATTACGAGATCAAAGTGGCTTTCACTTGCCACTCATCATTAATCTCTTAATTTTAAGTAAAACACATTTGTGGCTTTTTATTATTTTCTAATCTCATTATCTGATATGATTTAAAAATGTTATTCATGGTTTTTTTGTTCGGTTTTTAATTTCATTTCTTTTTTTATGTGCTGGATTTGAGCAGAAGAAACTCGGACTTTGGATTGATTTGACAAATACAACACGCTTCTATAATCGACGTGATATTGAAGTACGTGATTGCGAATATAAGAAATTAAAGTGTCGTGGTCATGGCGAGACACCATCATTAGAACAAACACAAGCATTCATCGAAATTGTTGACGCATTTTCAAAAGAGCATCCATTGGATTATGTTGGTGTGCATTGTACGCACGGTTTCAATCGAACGGGATTCCTGATTGTTTCATATATGGTTGAACGGATGGATTGTGATGTATCAGCAGCAATCATGGCATTCGCACATGAACGACCACCGGGCATTTACAAACAAGACTACATTGATGAACTATACAATCGCTATGATCCAACCGAGGATCAAAGAGCAGAGGCTCCACCAAGACCGGCATGGTGCTTGGGTAAGTGAATGCTATATCCTCCAAATGGCTACTTTGAACTAACCTCATTTTTTGACTGTTTGTTTTAGAATACGACGATGGTGATGGTGATCAAAGTTACAATAATTACAGTTCTTCCGGTCAGTCAAGCACAAATGCAGTTAAACGAAAATATGAAAATGGTTCCACAACAAATGAATTTGATGATGCCGATGATGAGCCAGATGATGCAAGAAATGGTGAAAGCAGTACCGGTTCCGAAAGTGGTACAAAAAAGAAGCGACGAAAGGAATTTCTCAATTTGAATGCAACGTTTATGGCTGGTATACAAGGTGTAAACCTGGTAACGGATCAGGTAATTGTTATAGATACTTAAGTAGTTTCGTATTTTTTAGTAGAAATTGACAATTTTTGTTTTCAATAACAGCCACGACTTGGTGAATTACAAGAAACCATTCGGAAAATGTGCAAATTTGAAGGGAACGGATTTCCAGGCTCTCAGCCCGTTTCAATGGACATGAAAAATTTACGACTGTTAACCGAAAAACCATATCGTGTATCGTGGAAAGCAGATGGAACACGTTACATGATGTTGATTCGCAAAGAAAAAGAAATTTACTTCTTTGATCGTGACAATTCTTGTTTTCAAGTAACCGGCATTCGATTTCCGTGTCGCGATGACCTAAATACTCATATCTATGACACCCTCATCGATGGTGAAATGGTAATCGACAAAGTGAATGGTCAAAGCATCCCACGGTATTTGGTGTACGATGTCGTATGCTACAATGGAACCAGTTACATGGAATATGAATTCCATTCAGAACAATTGTTCACCCGACTGAAATGCATCAAAGAAAATATTATAGGTAATGCAATTGCATATTAACAAAAGTGAATGTTACTAATATTAAATCTTATTTCAGAGCCGCGCTATGAGGCAATGAAACGTGGGTTAATAAATAAAATGCGTGAACCGTTCAGTGTACGTGATAAGGAATTTTGGGATGTGACACAAGCGAAAAAACTTCTCGGACCAAAATTCACAAAAAATCTAGGCCATGAACCAGATGGTCTTGTCTTCCAGCCATCAGTCGATCCATATATTCCCGGTCAATGTAATGTTGTATTGAAATGGAAACCATTAAATATGAATTCCGTTGATTTCAAGCTGAAAATTGGCACAGAAAGTGGTGCTGGGTAAGCATACGGATTTTTTTCATAGAATTCTTTTAATTCGAACGAATAAATAAATGTTTTTTTTCTTTCTGTTCGTTCTCAATCAGGATTGTAACTAGAAAAGTTGGATATTTGTATGTCGGTGGACTGGATCATCATTTCGATACGATCAAAGTGTCAAAACAGCTGAAGGATTACGACAACAAAATCATCGAATGCAAATACGAGAACAATCAATGGGTTTTCATGCGTGAAAGAACGGACAAATCGTTTCCAAATAGCTTCAACACTGCTAGCGGTAAGTGTAGAGTCTATTAAAAGATATGTATTGAAATGTTGACTTATATTTTAATTTGATTTTCATATTGCAGCTGTATGTGCAAGTATAAGAGAACCGGTGACCACCGAAATTTTGGAAGAATACATTGAAAGGAATAGATACAGAAATTTAGTGCCGCCACCCCGATTTTTTTGAACAACGCCCATTCTACATGATGCAACAAACAACAAAACAAAAACGACCAATCTATTATTACAATAGAATAAAATGTACATTACTTTCTTTTAAAGTACGAACATATTGATTTGTACGCTCAAAAACAACTGTAATTGCATGATTCAGGCGAATGAAGAAACGCACAGAAACATCAAAATTAAGATAGTTGTTCAATAAAATGATTATTCTAGAAAATACATTCAATTTTGAGTTTTCTCATTTTATAGCGAAATCGCCATTACGCGTTATTCATTGCAGCAGACGAATTGTTTCAAAAAAGTTCAAAATGGTCGAAATAAATAAAAATAAAAAAAATCTTTGGGATACGAACTCGATACCTCTGGTATTGGCGGCGACCGTTTGTCCAATCTGCTACTGCAGCTCTTATTAGATAGTGAGCAATAATGAAACGTTACAGTGCTGACACACGATGATCATACAATATACATTCTCAACAAATGCATCGGCTACCGAAACGCATTCAACAGCCAAAAATGTAATACAAATAAATCTGTTGAAATTAATTTGAATATTTATCGCTAGAACACTCTATTGAATATTTCAATTAAATATCCATATTATGTTTGGCATCAAAGCTATACTATAAAAAACTTTCTTCCGACCGACAAAATATTACATTACCAAGTGTAATTGCCCAATAAAACGACTATTCTAGAAAATTGGTTAAATTTTTTTGTTTCCTGATATGAAGATGACATTGACATGGTAAGAGAATTGTTCCAGAAAAGACCATAATGGTTAAACACGAACTCGAAACCACCGGTATTGTGAGCGACCGTTAAAATGAAACGGCTTAATGATATTTAAATTCGAAGTCCGATCCGAGTACTATATAAAATGAAAATATTTTTATTTCTACTGTTTTAATAATTATTTAATCGGTTTATCACGATTGTGATACAAAAGTGAGGTTTTGTCAACCAATTCATTTTTATTGATTTAATATTTTTGAATATTGTGGACAGAAAATCTCACCAAATTGAAAAAACAAAAGATTTTTTATTTTCAAAAATGTAAAAAATTAAAATCTATTTATTTCTAGTGTTTTAATTTAACAGTTTAACGCAGTTTAATCGATTCATTATGATTTTGCCAAACTGTGACGGCCATATTGTCACAAACTTCGATTAGTACTCGGAATACGCATTAGAGGTGTTGTTAGTTACGGGCATGATCAGGCTTCGTTTAAATTGAACATTCAAAAAATGCGATAGATAAACAAAATTAATACGAAATTAATTTGAATATTTATCGCTGGAATGCACCAAGCAATACTATGTGTTCGGATAAAGCTAAATAAAATGTCGGGTTTTTTGTATACTTTTCCCGACGTAAAACAAAAAATTGTGTAGTCTTTTTCTGGTTAAAGAAACGTTTTGTGGCTATGGTAAGTATCGTTTGAAGCCAAATTGTTTGTTCCGAATTATGCTTGTTTGCGTTCACACAATGAGATTTGTGTGCGATTTTTTAATGCTCATGACTGAATTTTATCAAGTATAGAATACAGTTCAGGTTTTTGTCTGTTGTGTGTTACCATTTGTTATGGCAATTTATTAAAGAGAGAAAGAGTAATTTACCTTTCGACCAGTGAAATGATGTTCAGCATAATGTCATTCATATTCTAGAGAATTTCAAATAAAAAAAGTCAACACAGAACAAATGATTTTTTCTATTATCAAATTTGATTTGTTGATGATTTTATTATCCAATGTTGGTATTTCAACACAAAAGAAACTATCGAATAAGTGGGATAAGGTTAATTGTATTAAATGATTTCAATAACCAATGCAAAAGAAAGAAACTTATGATTAAATCATGTGCTAGTGTTGAATTGATATTTCACACGGCAAAATTGGTTGAATTCCTCACATGTTTGATGTTGTTGAAGAGTGAACAATTGAACATATTTTTCTTTGCGATGAGCCCAAATGCTTAGAAACCATCATCATCGTCTTCGGCCATTTCTTTGGCAAGCTCAAGATCTTGTTGTTCACGTTCCCGTCGCTCTTCTGCACTTTCCAAGTCTTTGCCATACGATTTTGGTGGATAACGCATTGCTTTCACACTTTGGTTGTGCAAATCCAAACAAAACGAAATACGCTGATGGAACGCCAATTGTGGATCCCGTGTACTGTAAACATCCATGCTTTCTTTGCTGCGCATATAACCTTTTTCCGGATCGATAGTTGCTTCGATGACCCCATCACGAATTGCTTTGGCCACAATAAATTCAGCATCTTCGGCACTGTCCAATCCCAATTTCTTGGCAATGTGTTCGGGCGAAATACGTGAATACGATAAACCAATTGAACGAATGGCCGTCTTGATGACATTATGACGCAAACGTATAATCAATGTGTATGAATGATCTTGTTGAAATTTCGGTGTGAAATTTTCCAGTACTTCACCAAAACGTTGCAAATTACCCAAACGAACGGCTTGTGTCAATTGAAAATATGGAATCAACGAGCGACGCAATGCAGCCTGACGGAAGATTTGACGATCAGGTATATTACCGAGCAACAATTCGACGACAATGATCAATTTTTGAACGGTTTGACGAAAACCGATAGCAGCATTTTGTGGTGATTTTCGTAATGCTTGCACTAAATTCTTGTGAGCATCACTGTATTCCAATTTTGCACCCTTGATACGGCCCAAATAGTATAAAAATCGTGCCCATTCATTGTTGCTGGCCGTTTCCGGGAATACTGATTTCTTCACCAATTTATCGGCCTGATCGTACAACGAATAATGCAAATAATTACGCAACAAACAATTGATGAGCACAGCTTGACCTTCGAAATCATTACGTAGTGTGGCCGTACGCAAACGATTGTGCAAAAAACTACGAATACTCTCTAATGAATCGGTCAATTCGGCAACGCGTGAATAATAGAAATAGATTTTGGCCGCAATCAAATCCAATGTACGTCGATTTTGTTCAACAATTTTCTTAATCAATGCTTCCGAACAGATTTGCGCTTTATCCAATTGGGATTTATCCAACAAAAACACTAGCACCAACAAATGCAGATATGCATCAACTTCGGGAATTGGTGTTTTGATTGTGGCTCGTTTTCGCTCATCTAATTCTTGTCCCGGTTGTAATGCATCTAAAAATTGATTGATTGCATCACGTTCAGCACCAACTGGATAAAAATTTGTGGTCAAATTGCGTAGAACAATCGTATTCACTTTGCGACGTGTATTTGGCAATGATCTCAATACACGCAATATGAAACGGGGCTCCTTTGTTAATACAGCCTTTTCGATTTGTCGACAATGCTCACGAATCTCTTGCACGGACGCCGAATCCTGTTCACGCTTTTGATTTTCGATGTCTTCAGCGCTTTCCATTTCAACATCTTGTTGTTGGGGCTCATTTTTCGCAACCATTTTTTTCTCGTCTTGTATTCAAACCTGTAAATCACACAAAGAAAACAACACTCAAAAATTTAGACCGTTTTGTTTTGAAATAAAAAAGAAACTTCAAAGAAAATTTGACGCTCTCAATAAATGTCGATCGAATTTTCACCGAATTTATTTGACAGGTTAAATAGAATTTGCTTGAAATTCAGTTACAAGCAAAATAAATTGCACTCACTTTATTATATTTTCCAAACTTATAACCTCTGTTGCAAACAATGCTGAGTAATGATAGATGACTTTATTATGTTACTGTGTATTGAACGTCAAATCGCCGCATCAGCATTTAGTTCGACTGAAAGCCGTCAGAGGAACATTGATGTACACAGTCACAAATGATTGCATGGTTTCGATTACAATAGATGGGGCTGGGCAAATTCGGAAGAAATATTCTGCATTTTTGTACTTTTGAACAGAATTATTCTCTTTTTTTGCGTCAATTTAATAACAAAGCTATCAAAGATAATTGTTTACAATCGAATCTTATGTAATGTGCATGAGTGTTGGCTTTATATATTTAAAAGGCGATTACTTTTACAATACACATGCATTTGCACATTATCATTATGGTCCAGGACATCTATTCAATAAATACTGATAAATTCGAATGCATTGGCTCATAACGTTTTAAAACTTACTAAACGTTCGACCCACGGAATCTTAAACACAGTTCATAAAATTCTTTTTTTGTTGTTCAATTGTCTATAATTTTTGATTAATTTAATTAAATAATTTGCATAACAATGGCCGACACAAAAATACCAGCAAAAACAACGGATGTGAAATCATCTGATGTAAAAACCGTAGAGGTGAAAACGTTGGATCAAAAAGTGTCGTTGGTTAGTCTGGAAGAGTTTGACTTTGAAGATCCAATAGTTCCACCGGCCAGTTTAAGACGTCCAATTGCTGTACGTCCAATGGTTTTGATGGGAACCGGACCAACAAACCCATCGAAACGAGTGGTGGAAGCTCTTTGCAAACCAGTCATGAGTTTGTATGCCAACGAATTTTGGCAGGTGAATTATTAAATGATACATTTTAATTTTACCCATATAATTCATTTGCGGAGTAATTTTGACGGTGGCGGGACTGTGTGGAGTTTGGCGGAGATGACATACAAACTCTGTGTGTACGAGGGTAACAGCACTTCCATGTGTATCATTCTTACGCAGATGATTAGTAACTTAGCTGTGTGTACGGCTACTAAGATGTACGATTGGACAAAATAAATCTATGAACAGCAAAGAATGCTGTTGCACTCGTACACACAGCATTTGCATGCTATCTCCGCTGAACTCCGCACAGTCCCGTCATCGTAAAATTACTCTGCAAATGAGTTATATGGGTACACACACAAAAAATAAAAATAATTTAATTTCACCTTTTGTGTAAATATTGATAATTTTCATTGGAAATCAAAAGAATATTCATTTTTAAATAGTCGCCGCTATTATAAAAAAGACCGGAGAGCGGGAAAAGAATATATATAAAAGAAACCTCTATTAAGAAAGTGTTCTTTATGAATTCGCCTGTTTCTACACTAGACATGACTTTCATAATGGAATATGGTGTGCATGGGCGCTGTGCAATCTTTGACCTGCATTGTTTATTAGTCGTCTGTTTTTATGTTCTTTATCGAGAGAGAAAGAGAAATGAAAAGACACAAAAGCATAATCAAGTGCATCTGCCAGACGCATGATGTGCTATAATTTGTTTTTTTCCTTGTTTATTTACACCGTTTTGCATTCAAACACACAATGATTATAGTATGGTGTTGTTATCAACTGACGAATTTGCTTATTTTTCTGTGCACCTTTTTTGCCATTTGTATGCCTTTGATGTTTGTGAACATCTTGTTATCGTGTATATGCGGTGCTTACAATTTCACGATATTTTTTTTATTCTTTCTTTAAATTCTTTTTGTTTTTTTGCATTGAAACATCGTTATCATCATTATCAAGAATAAAAATCGTTTGTTGACATTGCTTCGAAAATTGAATTTCTTTTTGCTTTTTCTCTGTGTCTGTCTGTCCCTCTCACACACACTTTTAATAAAAAATCGGTTTTATGTTTTTTTTTGTTTAGATTATGGATGAAGTTCGTGATGGTTTAAAGTATTTATTTCAAACAAGAAATCCAGTCACTTTCTGTGGTACTGGTTCCGGAAATGCAGGTATGGAAATAGCGCTTGGCAATTTATTGGAACCGAATGATGTAATTCTTGTTTGTGTAAGCGGCACATTTGGCTTTCGTGCCGTTGATATGGCCAAGCGATATGGCGCCGATGTACGAGTAATTGAATCAAAATTGGGAACATCATTTAAATACGAACAAATTCGTGCTCAAATTGATTTGCATAAGCCAAAAGTTTTGTTTGTTTGTCATGGTGACTCGTCAACCGGTGTACTACAAAATCTCAATAAATTGGGTGAATACTGTCGACGGTAAATATATATATATATATTTTTTTTTTTGGTGTCAAGCAATGATTTATTTTCCGAATCAAAAATTGAATTAAAATTGATTCCATTTCAAATGATAGAACTAATGTCCTGTTTGTGGTTGATGCTGTGGCTACACTTGGTGCAGTCGATTTAAATGTTGATGAATATAAAATCGATGTTTGCTTTTCTGGCTCGCAAAAGGTTTTAGGCGCTCCAGCCGGACTTGCACCGATCACATTCAATAATCGTGCAATGGAATGTGTTTTGAATCGTAAAGTACCACCAAGCGTGTATTTCTTTGACGCAGCATACTTGAGTGAATTGTACAAGTGCAACAATGATAAGCCACGATTGTGAGTGTGAATGAGATTGAGATGTGTCATCTAATTTATTTTAATGTATGACATTTTTTTTGGATTTCAGAGGTCATCACACTGTATCAGCTCAGTTACTTTACGGTTTACGTGAAGCATTGGCCGAAATTGTTGCAGAAGGACTTGATTTATTTAAATTACGCCATGCTGAAAATGGTCAACGGTTACGTGAAGGCCTTCAGAACATTGGCCTGGAGCTATTTGTTGAAAATCCTGAACAACGTTTACCATCTATAACAGCCGTTCGCATTCCACACGGTGTTAAAATGGAAACTGTAATGAAGTGCATGATGGATCGGTATGTGAAACATTTTTTTTTACTTACTTATTTTGATAATCTATTTTTTCCGGTTGTTTCGTTCTTTTTTTTTACTCAATGTTTTCCATTTAAAATGCAAATTAATTGTGTAAATTTTTATTTTCCAAACAAACAAAAAAAAAACGATTACAGACACTCGGTCGAGATTTCGGACGGTTTTGGTGTAACGAAGGGTATCATTTTCCGCATCGGAACCATGAACTCGAATGCAACGAGTCAAAAGGTCGATTTAGTGTTGCGAGCACTTTATGAAGCACTAAAAGTTACGGCTAATTTCATTGCCCCACAAACAAAAGTTTATTACTAAAGTGCTTGTTTGCTCTTTTTTTTTTTTTTTTTTTTAAAGAAGAAAAAAATTCAAATCCATTTGTACTATTCGAAGAATATGGTTGACATTTGATATGAACCAGAGAATTAATGCCAAAGATTAAAATTAAATTGAAGCACAAAAATAAAAGACATGTTGTTGTTCCTCTTTTTATTTGATTTTATTGTATTTTTTTTATACATATATTTACTTGTAATTTTCACTATTAATCAGGACACGCCATAACAACGTTGTCCATATCTGCTTTGTACGGATGATTGTGAGTGGTTGAATGAGTGGCCAGCATGAATAATATGACTAAGACTGTGGTATAAGCGAGATAGGTGGGAGAAGAACGGGCGGGGATGCTCATCTGCGCTATTATTTGACTTAAATAAATAAATATTTCATTGACATGCAATGGATGTGTGTAATTGTTAAACAAATATTGACAAGCATTAGCTGGACTATTTGCACATCACATTATACAGATTGACACGTCATCATATAGTAATTTAATACGTTCAATATTGATTTGTTCCTTCTATTTTAGTTTGGTTCACACAGTGTTTGCTGTTTAATTGAGAATTTGTATACTATATGATTTGATTGGTATTTTTTTTGGGCTTTTGTTCGGCAGAGCGAAACATTTATAATAATAATTAATTGGCTCATTACTAAAACAGCAAATATTTGATTGGCGCATAATTTTCAGCGAAATATTGGATATGATATAATTGTGTGTTTTTTTTTGTCTTAAATATAATATGTCCAACAGTTTGTTTGTTTGTTTGGGCTCACGGTAATACAATGTCCGCTTTATCATTACATAAATATATCGGCTGCAAATTGGTTGCTGCTTGATATTTTATTTAAAAAATAAAAAATAAACCATCGATTATAATTACTTAATAGATTGGAAATAATTTGTTTGTTTGTCTCATTTGCAACGAATATGATGATTATTGTCTATTCTAATTAACTAACTTTTTGTAGTTGTTGTCATTTTGGATTACACATTGCATTCATGCAACGTTTACCTTTTTTTTTTAATTTTATCTATTATATTAACATTTGTTTTGCATACAATTTAACCAAGAATCAGTCCTAAATAAATATTTCGAAACTTATCGAAAGAACGAACAAAAAAAATGAAGAAAAATCAATTTTTTGGCTGTCAACTGAAGTATTTGGTGATTGTTAACATTTGTATTCATGGAAATTGCGTTATAAACATTGTAATTTTTTAAGCATTGTGATTAGACATAGAAAGAAAATTATTTTTTTCTTATATTTGCGTGACAATTTAACCTAAACTGTTGATAAATAGTATACAAACAAGTGGACAACTAAGAGTAAAGAATTTTGCATCGAACTAATTTCAACCGAAATTTTTTTATGTGTTCATGAACCCGGTTTCATTTTTATCTACTTTTTGTAATATTCGACATAATTATTTTTTATATATCTAGTGATTTGTATAATTTTTTGTTGTTGCCATTGGATATGGTAGTTGTCGTGTTTCATTCGAATGTTAATTTCAATAAAGGAAAAAGTGTGTCGTTTTTTTGGAATATATCTCATTAGACGAAAAAAAAACACCAAACCATTTCATAGCATTTGAAAGCCAAAAATGTGTTGGTGGTCTATGTGTTGCCAAATATTTGGTAAAAAGAGTTGAACGAACCAAATGAACTGTTGCTTTGTAAAGCAATTTCATGTCAATACAATAATGTGAACACACATTTTCAAAACAATTATTGGATAAACTGAAATTGGCTGGAGCGTGCGCGCGCGCGCGTGTGTGTGACATAATGGGAATGAGATCAAATGAAAAACAATGGTAGTCTTTCGGCACTAATTAATTGATTTTACAAATGCACTACATAAATGATACATTTATTATTCCATGATTTAACCGTTTTGTATATTGCTATGTAATTTTGATACATTTGAAATATTTGAGGGCAACTTATGCTTCTACAAAACCGATTTGCTAATTTGTTAACATAATATACATATTTTGCGACTAATGATTATTGGACACTTCTCTGTCCGATTTAATTAGTTGTTCATGCAGTTTACTTTTTATTCAAATTCTGAAATCTTGTCACATCACCTAATTTAAATGTTTTATTCTTAAATCGATAAATTATAGATGTTGCTATACTTTCTAAATATAGATATATTTTCATATAAATTTCAGTGTCGAAATCGGATGATTGTGAATTAATACGTCGACATTTCTAATAAACAATAAACTACATAAATTAATGCTTTTTAGCTATGAATTTTATGTTCAACCTTTTTTAATAATCTGTAGTCTTTTTTTGGATTGAATTAAGCTTAAATAAAAAAAAGAAACATTTTGGCAATCAGCATTCAATATCTTGATAAATAAAACATGAAATTGCAAAACGTCACCTACATTGTAGGCTATTTGGAATTCCATTCGAGAGAGGAAAAAAAAGGATCAAAATCGATCAATATAAATCAAAGGAATTATTTTATTCGATATTGCATTAAAAAGGAATTTAATAGAAAAACTCACATGTTCTATTCATCAGGTCAAAAGCTGTTAAAATCAATAACAATGAATGCTTATATCATTTGTTTTAAGCAAAAACCGTAGAATAGCACAGAATTCGTTTTTCGGCTCCGATTTTTTTTCTTCACAGCAAATGCAACAACAACGTCGACACATGTATACGTCATCGTAAGTGATATTTAGATGATAGTTGTTAATGATATATATTTTTTTTGCCGAAAAACAAACTGTCACAATTCAATGCACATATGTTACTCAATCTAAATGCCACAGAATGAATGTGAGACTTGACACATAGTCTGTACATATTTGTATGTTGTTGGTTCATTCTAACATTTATTCCAGAGCATTCGTTGAATTGTGGCAGGTTGCCGAAGAATGTCTTGAGCTGTTGTAGTACATGTCCCAAATCTAGTACAATATACCTTAAAACTAGTAATACTCCATATACCTTTATTTATTGTTTGCATAACGATTTTTTTTGTTGTTAAAAAGATATTGTCCTGATTTTGTTCCATCATCTTTTTTTCTTCTCTTCACTTCGATTTTGGGTGTTCTTTCATTGTTATCCTCTATCTCTACATAATTAGTTTGTTTTTTTCTTAAGAAATACATCATTTAGCTTGTTATGAATTGATTCAATGCACTTTATGCCATTGGCAGCACTTTGAATGCATATGAATTTAATAACACATTCTTAAAGAGCGGTTTTTGTTTAGGTTTTTCATACCATTATTCTACTATAGAAAAAATATCATTATTTTATTGAACATATAATTTGTATTTTTTTTAAAGTTAAATTCAGTGTTTTCATCTGATTTAATTGATTAGAAATGGGTTTGGTTACAAACAGGAAAGACGACATTTTTAATTCTTATGGTTTTTTTTTGCATCAGTTCTCTCAATTCACCTATAGTTATAAATGTGGATTGAAATGTTTTATTTCGTTCTCATCTCATAAAAACGTCAACTACTATTGAACACCAGATTTCTAGTTACCCGAATCAATGTGCATTGTGCATGTTGTCGAATTATAACACAGTGAATAAAGAAACATTATATTTTAGAGTAATTTTCCTTTTAAACCTAAAAAATGTGTTTTATGTGCAATTGACATGCGGCATCAGGCCTTATTTTATTAGTATTTGTTTGTTTTTATTCATATTCACCAATAATTTTTACAAATTGAATATAAACGTCTTTTTTTCTTTGTTTTTATGTTTTGTGCGTGCATATCGAATTGGATGGATCGATATGGCATATGCACAACAGTTTTTTTTACGTGTATGGTGTGTGTTTCGATGACACTGAATCGTTTCAAATACATATTTTGTGTTTCATCTACGTTGATTTTCACATTCACAACTATTTAGATTTTCTCTCCTTTCTTTACAGGTACGAAAATAGTGAATTTATGAAAAAAAAGTTTTTAATTGAAATAAAATGTTTAATTGATATTGAATGATATAAATAATTTTGTGGTTTTTTTTACACAAAAAAACCGATATGAATTTTTTTCTAAACGTACAAGCGAAACGAGATTGAATTTCATTATAGTCAATTGGTAAATTTGTGAGGAAATGACAAATAAACATAATGATTCAATATTTTCTGGTTTGTTTTTTTTTTTTTTTTTTGTTCATGTGTAGCATTTTATCAGAATCGAGTGCAACAAATTTAAAGAAAGAAAATTATATTGTAGCCAATTAATTTAGGAAGTACGAGTATATAATTTCAATAGCTTGTACGTATCACAATTTTCAGCAGAAGCAGTTTTTCATTTTTTCGATCACTTTTTTTTCTCAAATATATTTCTGAAGCTTGCGGAAATTGTTACAAAAGCCTATAGATTGATTTGTTGTTTAATTTTAGTTTTGTAAATCTTAAGCTACGGTCCAGGAAAATATATTGGCTTTCGACAAGCGAACGTCTTGATACGCATTTTATCATCAATAAATTGAAATTGATATATTCACAAAGCATGTTTAACCTGTGCTCCATGTTTCGGTGTTTTTTTTTACAAATAAGAACAGAAATATGACAATCAAAACGCATCAAAGTAACAAAAAAGATGAGTTGGGTAGCTTGAATTTATCTATAAATGCTAATTTGTTTCTCTGCTACAGAAGATTTGTCATTTTATTTTTTGTCTACTTACATAAATACCTATGTAGCATATAATAGAAACGTGCGTTTTATTAAAGTCATTGTCAATAATTGTCATTAAACACTTTATTCTCGACTCTGTTCACCATTTTTTTTTAAATTATCATTGTTCCTAGTCAGTTGTTTCTATTTTTACCTAAACATTTAATACTATAATTCATCTAAACTGCATGGTTTTATTTTCAACATTAATATATAATTTGTTTTGTTTTTTTTTTTTTGGTTTCTGGTTTAATTTATTACATGCAATTATTTACAGGTAATATACAAAATGCGCCTTTGTTTTTTTATCAAGCGTGAAAAGTGACTGACAATTGACAAAATGTTCGAAATCTCGAACTTAAATGTCAATATTATAAAATAAAATGTATGCACACACTTTTGTCATTGTTTCTCAACAACAACAAAAATCGAAAAATTCATTTTTGCAATGATTGATTGAATCTGCAGGCCACATGTACTATAATAAAGATCCGATTATTTCAATTTCAATAATGTTAGTTGTTTTTTGGTTTTTAATTCATTTTTGTTTGTTCAGTAGATTGTCATGTTCATTGAGGTGTTCACCCCAAGGTGAAATTCTGTAGAACTTCAAAAATAGACTCGCAAATGTTATTTTATAATCGGTATTACGAATATATTTCCATCGTTGTCGGTGTAAAAGTAAAATGCAAATTCACTTCTTCTTTTTTGTTACTTTCCACCAAAAAAAAAGAAAGAGAAACACATCAGGTGTGTGAAAAGCGACGAAGAAAACCACACATTCAATCGACATCTGTGATGTTTGTTTCTTTGATGTTTGTATTTAAAAATTCGTTTTCGGCATTTTTTGAACTATATGAAGGCCCATTAACAACACAAAGGACAAAAAAGAAACGGGTCAATCAAGAGTGTCGTTTGTATTGCATTTAGTGTTGTTATCGGTTTTCTTGTTCGTTTTTCAACAATTAAAGTTAAATCCGAGTATAAAGACCACGGAAGAGAATACACGCAATATATCATGTTTGATATTCTTTGGGGGGCTACGAGAATTGTCGCACATGACTTATATATTTATTTTGTTTCGTTCAACTTTCTGTTGTTGTTCGGTCGATAGGTGTTTTTCCATGCTGATGCAGAAATTATAAAGGTGTAGCCGATTTTCCATGCATATTGGTGTGTACTCGACGCCAATTGTTGGCGTGTTGCGAACAAGAGATTTTCGACATATTTTTTTCCTTTCATTTCTGTCCCTGGATATTTGTGTTTGATTTTCCATCGAGTTGTGATATCATTCAAATTATATTTGAAATAAAAAAAAAATTCGTGTCGTGGTAATCTTTTGTGTGACGCATTGTTGAAATGTGATTTTACATGCTTTAACATCAGATAACATTGATATTTTTTCGCTGTATTTTGTGACCTTATTTTTATGTCGCGTTCAAAGAAATCGATCGTAGCTAAATGCATGCGATTTGGACGATTTTCTCTTCAGTAATTTAAGAAATGTCAATTAGTTTTGGAATCTGAATAATCTTAAGCTTGGTCGCATGTACGATTTGCGACAATGTGTTCCTCGAACTGCAGCAACACGAGAAAAAAACAACTCATTTGCATAAAATTCCTGAATTGGCGCTATAGTTGGAAAAAAAGAGTTGATTAAAAAATTGGCCCAAAGTCAATTTGTGTGCACGTTTGTTTTGTATTTGGCGTAATCGAAGGGTTGTTCCGTACACACACGAATTTTGAAAAAAGAAGGAGCGAGAAAAAAACAACAAATGTGAAATTACGAAATGTGCATGTCGTGCAAACATTTTCATCAATCAATAAATGTTATGCATATATTCCAAATCGTCTGAGCACGTGCAGTGTTTGGCGATTTGCACTGTTTTTTTACGCGCTCTCTCTCTCTCTATCTATCTCGCTCTCGTCGCTAGAAAAGTTTTCTAATTAATGGCCCAATTCATGGGGCAAATGCTCGAATCATAATGAATGATTTTATTGTCGCTTCGTTGTATGATGTACACATTCAAACATTCGTTAAATATCGTCTGCACGAAGAAAAAACAACCAAACACACATATAAAAACAACAACAATCGAATCGAAGTGAGAATTTTTTTTATCCACATACATACAACACATGTTATTCGATAGTGAATCGCCAGGACTATCCAGCGTTAACACAATAAACAAATGAAATTTAAATCGCTTGCGTTCACGTGCAATGAATCGCTTGTAATTAAGCAAGTGGTGGTTTTTTTTTTAACTATAAACACATAAATAATGCAGAATATTTTTTTCTCTCGAAAATTGAGTCAAATTAAATATGACTGCGCTGTATGTGTGCCGCATATCGATTGCAATTATAACCGAACAAGCACAATACAAATCTATTGCCAGCGGTTCGTATACATTTTTTTCCTGTTCAAATGTCTCTGCATCGATAGCAGTGCACACGGCAGTACAATTTTGTGAGTACATTGAAAATTACATTAGAAATTGGAAAATAAATAAATTTTGTTCTTTTTAGGCTCGCAACAGAACAACTTTCGATGCAAACTGGAAGTAAGACAGAGAATAAAAAGAAAGAATGAAATTTATAACAAAAATGGTTAGAAATATTGGTTTCTATACAAAATGTTTGCTAATTTTCTATTTACCTTACAACGATTTTTCATTCTCTTCACATTCAATCAACAATGGCACATCATCATCCTTCAAATGGGCACTCTAGTCATCGCATTGTATCTGTTCGATGTTCGAATGAATTTTCTCGTTCTCTTTTCTGTAAAATTACACAAACACAATGGAAAATATTAATTAAATACATCTCATCAACAGTGATATAACATTTGTTTGAGATAAACTTACGTGCACTGAATGGTAAACAGCCCCAAGCATGAGTATGAAGATTGAAATGATCTTCGCTACGATAGAGAGTATAGTTGAAGTACATGCGAAACAAGTATTAGCATTATAAACGCTTCATGCCATAAAAAGTGTTCATGTGTTTTTTTAACACAGCCATGAGATGAATCTACACCAATGCATTCGGAGTACGAGCGTTTCAAAAGCGATGAAATTTGCAGTGTGATGTACTAATTTGCATATTGGCTTGTCGTCGACTATGGTTTTATGCGCTTCAAATTTGAATGAAATATATATATATATATATTTAAAACATAAAAAAACATTTAATGTTATATTGAAACTGATTTCCTGGAAGAATGTCTTGAACGGTTGATTGCGGTAGCTGAGATGAGGTTAAATTGAATATACATAACACAAGTGCTCACTGATGTCAAATATAAATGCCGTCAATCAAAATTAATTATTAATTATGTCGACGTTTTTCTATGGTCTCTGTCAAATTGATTATTATTTTATAGATGTATGAACGCATTTATGTCGCCAGTTCTATGTCGCCAATATTTTTTTTTTCAGCTTGAAGAAGGCTTCGCTGAGTACATTGTTACAATTTTAATATGCATGTTACTCGCTACTGCACTTTTGTAATTTTGCACTTTTTTTACATTTGATTCAATTCCAATCAAAATTATGAACATAACATTTTTTGTATTTTGATTTAAATCGAATCGTTTCGGGGGACAAAGTCCTTTTGACAAAGGTAAAACTTTTGGCCAAAGTTCTTGTCTTATCAGTATAAAGTTTAAATTGAATTCGCTGTGAAAACGATTAAATTTTACATTCATAATCGCTTGACTATATTCACTCATTAAATTGATGAGCTGTTTTTAAAAAATCGTTAGCGAACAGTGATGCTATTTCATTATATTTGTTTGTATTCATTCATTGCATAATTATTGTATATTTGAAAAGTAGTCACTGTTCGTAAAGGATTCCACATTTCTTGATATCTCTAAATATATTACATGCACAATTTTACTTAATAAGTGATTTTGTGGTTGCTTTTAGTCTAGTTAATTACTTAAATCAAGTACCGTGTCGGCAACATTGTTTTCTTTTTTGTTTGAAAGCAGCACATTGCACGGATTCCATGAACTTTTTTTTTTAAATAGTATAGATCTTACAATCTAGATATTAACTATCCCGAAAATTATTGTTATCATTTTAACATTGGTTTTGTTGCTGTGGTTGTTGTTGTTGTTGTTAGTCGATACTTTTCATGGACTAGAAATATTTACAAAATACATTTTTATGAATTTGTTCATTTTTTTGTCATATTTTAAATCGATATAGTTAACAAATATTATTGTCTATTAAAAGATTTGCATATTCTTCCGTCTCACATCTATAAAATAAGTGTTACTTGTCATTGAATTTCATTAAATTTGTGTGCAAGTGTGTAAGTGTTTTTGTAAATTGTCTCTGCTACAACATTGACGTGTGCTTGTGTGTTTTGATCTAACCGTATCGATGCTGAATTTCAAACTAGTTCTTTCAATGACAATATTCATGTAAACCATAACATAAAACTGTCATTCAAATCAGCAAATATTATAATATTTCATACATATACTACACACATTCACAAAAATCACTCATTCACGATTACATTCATACCAGGGATTGATCCTCTGGGGAGAAGAAACGGTGAGGTGGAAAATAAGGGTGGATCTTGAGGAGGGGCCTTAAGTAAGGGGAATTTTTGTTTACCAATTTTCATTTCCCTCCGCAACGTTCCCTCGCCTCAAAAGAACAATCTCTGACTCATACGTCGATGCAAATGAATGTATCTTCAGTTTTATGCTGATGGATTACATGGAATTATCGTATATTCTGCTGATATAAAGATATTTATGTCCACATTGTCACTCTTAATTACGTTACATATTATCGCTATCATTTTGGAGAAATGTTTTCTCCTTCTTTCCTTTTTTCTTTTATTATTGGCATTAAATTTACGTTTTTTTTATTCTCATAACATTCTTCTGCATGTAGTTCTTTCCAATGAGTTTTATCAGTGTTGTCTTTTTTTCGTTATTTTTATTGTTTTTAACTTTTGGTAATCATAAGATCAATATACAAAATCTCGAACCATTCACATTACTTTCAATTCAATAGAAATTATCCATTCATTTTTCTATTTAAATTCATTCATTCGTTCGATCGATCGTCATTTGTACGTGAATCAAAAAGAAATTGTTAGCTACTTTAATCCTAAATTTCTACGTGGCATGGACCGTCTAAATATAATATCTTCTCTTATTGTTGCTGTGAATGTAATCGATTTAAATGTAAGTATGTATTGCCGTTTTATGCTATTAATTTTTTTTTAAATTCAACTGAAAACTAACTAACTCAAAAATTTCATTGTGGCGCCTTTTATTGTGTTCACTTCATAAATTCTGGGTGAAAATATGCGAAAAAAAACAAAATGACATAAAAACGAAAAATTGAAACAAAAAGTTAGATGATAGACTTGTTTTTTATCATTTTGTTTGGATTTGGATGGGTGATCGGTAACGCTCTTATCATCTGAATAGAGATCATGGTGGTATAAAGGTTTTGTTATTTATGTCATGTGTAGATCGCCTTTCAGGATGCGCATAAATGTTTTCTTAAACTGTTGATTGGCCAGTGCATAGCAGAACGGATTCATTGGACTATTTGCATAACATAAAAAGTATGAAAACATATAAAGATGCACATTTGTACATGGTGGATCGGAGCAAAAGCCTTCAACCAATGCAAGTACATGATATGGTGTCCAGCATGCAACAAATGCACCTAAAATAAATGAAATCGTACGGAATGCTTTGCGTGCACGATTCTCAGACTTTGATTTTTGACGACCGCCCATCAATGGGATCTTTTTGCGACCCTTCAATCGTTTGCCAATCGATCGAATGAAATCACGTTTGCCGGACGTTTTTTCACTGGTTGTTGATGAACGAGCTGCTGCAGCCGCTGTCGTCGTACCTGCCACCGATGCTATCGTTGTAACCGCCTGTTGTGATGAACTCGATACGGCCGGTGTGATTGATGTGATATTTTGATTTTTGCCCGTCAAATCAATTGTGGTCGTTGTTGTAACGGTGGCTAATGTTGATGTGTTTGATTTTTGTGCGAGAACGGTTGCTTTCGTGCATATACTGTTATCGGTGTTGGATAGAAAACGATCCTCATTGATTGTGCTACATTGCCGTTCGGTTGTTTCATCTAAATTAGATTTTTGTGCATTTATTGCATTTACAATCGTTGTTATTGGACGATCAGCCTTATCGCTAACATTTACCGTGGTATTGTATTTATTAACAATTTCCGTTGTTGTAACGGTCGCTATGGATGAATGATATTCGTCCGATGATTTAAGTAAAACAGTCGGTGATGGTTGTTGGGATTGAGCGGTTGCTTTGATCAATGCTTTTTGTAATAATGATGGATTTGCAATGTTTTGACCTTTTGCCGGTGATACATTTTTCGGTGGTAAAATGATCGTTGTGGGTGGACTTTCATTTTGTGGTGATGATACAACCACAGAACTTTCGTCCATGAAACGAAGATCGGCACCATCTAAACCGCCCAATATGTCATACGTCATGGTTAATTCACTTTGACTGCTCACCACAAGGCTGCTGGGTCGATCCGATTTAATTGATGGACTCTTTGATGTTGGATTTGGGCTACCTTGAAAATCATCTGGCGGAGGTAGAATTTCATGCGACAGTTTTATCTGAGCTTGATCGATTGGTGCTTGTGGTGGTTCAATATCTTTTGGTGATATTGGAGATTGAACGGGCGTTGGCCGAAGTGGTACCATTTGTTTCGATGCTTCGATACTGATATTATCCGAATCTAATAGGCTAGCCTCGGTGATCTTTGGCATTGCTTCCATTCTTGAACTGGGCGATTTTTTCACTTGCATCGATTGTTCTTTTGTGGATGCCGTTTTAATGGCACCATTTGTTCTGGCCGCAAATACAGGCGCTTGTGCTTGCACAAATAGGCCAGCCAATGAGGTTCGCTTTTTAATCTGTTGCTGTTGTTGATGTTGTTGTTGCTGTTGATGTTGTTGTTGCTGTTGCTGTTGTTGTTGCTGTTGCTGTTGCTGTTGCTGTTGCTGTTGTTGTTGGGTTTTTGGTTGTGCGTTTGGTACAGTGCTATCATCATCCGAATCAAAAGCTGGACTACTCGATCGTTCACTCTTATCACCTTCGCTAAGCTCCTTCTTGGCCTTTGGCCGAGTTTTATTATTATCTACATGTTCGGTTTTATTTTTTGGTACAGAACTCTTTCGGGTGGTCGCCTCATTTATTTGATTTGACGATGACGATGATGTTACGTTTGATGGTGGCAACGATGATGGTGTTACAGCGGCAGTAAATTTCTTTATTTGAGTGTCCTGACTTAGTAGTGTACTTTGATCTTTTGATATGCCAATGCCAGCAGCACGTCCAGCCATTCCAGTCATGGCGCCAGCACTTAATGCAACCATCGACTGCATTTTACGTTGTTTTGCCTCGCTACGCTTTTGCATGTCGTACGCTGTCTTATAAATTCCACCATACAATACAAATAATACAATTAACGTTGTCCAGTAGTAGCCAATGATCAGTGCCTAAAAATTACACGTTCAAATTTAATTTTTTTTTTTTCATTCATCGCAAGTGATCTCAATTCATCGATAGTAATTGACTCATTCGCTGCTTTTCCATAAATATACTCAACGGAAGCAGAAATATACACTCTATTCGATGGCCTAATCGTATCAATTTTGGTAAGAGCACTTAGATTGCACTTTGTAATCGGCCAAAGTCAATCTAACACAATTTGCCAGCAAAAAAACGTTAATTTAATTTACCTTTAAAATAAATCTTTTCATCGATTTTATATAGACCCATTATGGGAATAGAAGTTTTATGAAGAGGAAAATAAAGAAAACACCACATATTGATAAAAACCAACATGGTGTGCGAAATGATGAAGCTGTCGTCGGCGTTCATCAAAGACTCTATTGTTAAATTAGATATTTATTAGTATTGATAAGGACATTTTTCTTTTGACGAAATGATCATTGTTCACCAGTGAACAAAGTCCAATTAATATTATACATAGATCATATTCAATACATTGCATTATTACATTTCATTACTTGCTTACGTTACACTTTCGGCCTCAAAATTGTCAAAATTTGATTAACATTAAAGTCAGTATTCTAATAACTCCCAAAACACCATGTTTTATTATCGCGCTATAATTAATTATTATTATTATTTGGATATTTATTTAAATTGATATTCATTTGGTCCTTCGAATCGTATTATTTACCGTGACAATGGAAAGATTATTAGATACTCAGAAAGATTTAATTGAACACTTTAGATCAATAAAGGAGAATTACGGAAAAGATGGCAGGCAAACGGAGAGGAACTCCTGGCTATAACGAGAAAAAATTGGCCATCTTAGAAGAATGGTGGGCCAAGTTCGACGATAATGATAGAAAGTTGGACAAATTCTCATCGTCAAACCAGGAGTATTTTGCCACAAATGTATGTTTAAATTGGTATTCAATCATCATATAATATAATAGACATATTTTACACTTTGGCATATATGAACCAAAAGTATAAAAGATGGACTTTTGCTTTTGATTTCGTTCCTGTTTCAATGCTAAATTCTAGGTCTCTTTAAATATTGCATGTATGATATTTGTAATTATTAATACAAGAGCATCAACAAAACAGGAGCATATATTTCATAACGGCACGAGATGCTTTTAATTCACACCGAAAGTGGTAATGTTACATATGAATGTCGTACGTGAATCAAAACCAATTCAATCATGTGATGAACACACGAAGGGCAATGTCAATATTTTATTTGTATGTGCAAAAAACGAGTTTAAAATCTTGAAAAAATATTGAAAAATACATTTCTTATGGCAAATTGTGTTAGATTAGTTTTTATAAAGATTATAAAGAGCAATCTAACTACTCTTACCATCCAACTCGAGATTTCTATTGATAAATTGAGATTTCATGCTGCAACCAACATTTCCGGCTATATGAGTTCCAAGCGAATGGCTAATCACATGCACCAAACCACTGCAGATATTATTTAATTACCGTGTTGAATACAGGATCCTTCAAATTCCATAAAAAAATAGAAATACGTATTTATAAGAACGGCGAAATAAAAGAAGTAGAGAAAACAAAAGGTTCACAAAAGATTTACGAACAATTGAGACCAACTTGAAAAATAAACGTGGGAATGTTGTACATTGAAATATATAGTTTGATAAATTTCAACACTGTTACATGAACGCCCCAGAGCAAAAACACTAAATATTTTTGCTGTATGCAAAACCATCATACAAAATAATAAGCGCAAAACTATGACATATGCATCAAATAAAAGCAAAAACACGATAATCAAGTCTGCATATTATATTTAAATTAAATGAAAAGATAAAAACACAATAATTTCAATTCTTATTTTTACGCCATCAATATGTATTTTGTTTTTGCTTTTAATTTTGTGGTCTTTACCTCTAATCAAAAATATATTGTCTTTTCGAACTAACAAAAAATATTTAGTGTTTTTGCTTTGAAGCGTTCACATATGCTTTTACACACGCTTCTTTCTATTTGTTCAGCCTCAATTCAATGTGTATAATATTAAAATCCCATAAGAAGATTCATCCATTTAGTGGTAAAATTTAAAGAAAAATATAAATAAAAATGTGTATTGTTCTAAAAATAAATATACGTACCTTCAAAAATTGGACTGTACATTCGCCTGGCAACAAATCTCGGTATCCGATGAAATGTTCCCATCCAAATATTGATGTAAAGAATAAACAAGCTGGAATTATCCATGTGATGGAAACCATCCACAATACTTTCCTTTGGGTTCGCCAACTTCGATACTTGGCCGCTATCTTAACGGAACAAAACCGATCGATGGTTATCAATAGAACGGTGTATTGTGATACGAGGCATACAGTGAAATCAACAGACAACCATAGGTCACATAGTAGCGGTCCCAAGTCCCAGTATCTTCGCAGAACATACACCGTAAAAAATGGCATTGAAACCGTTCCTGTGCATTTCAGAACAAAGCATACGCGAAACGACGATTGGAATAATAAAATTAAATCAATTATTAGCATTAATTTCTTTGCTTTGGTGCAATAAAAACTTTTTAACCTCAACAGATTTCAGTCGCATTAATAAAATGAACCGTGAAAACCAAAAAAAGAAGAAAATAGAAGAGAAATATTGAAAAAGTAGAAGAACAACGAAAAGAAAAATTAATGACACGTACCTATGAGCATGTCAGTTGCCGCAAGTGATGCTATAAAGTAATTACTGGGCTGTCTGATACTTCGATCCACAATGAATGCTAATAAAACTAAAATATTGCCACCGATCGTGAGTATCATACAAATTGCAATGATGGTCGCAACCATGATTGATTGCCATAATTCGAGTGCTGGCAGCACCGGTTTCATTTCATTCGATAGTACATTTGTTGCAGTTCGATTGGCTTCGAGTGTTGCATGAATCGTACCATTTATATAATTCCAGTCAATTAAACTATCGTTGTTTGACCATAAATCGTTGCCATCCAACAAAGGTCGATAAACTGGCAGACCCAATACTCGTTGACATTCCGGATATTCAAGTAATCGATTGTAAAGTTTCTTGCAAATGCGTTGTTGTTTCTTTTTCAATTTCCTGCAAAAAAAAGAGAGAAATAGAGAGAATAAATCAAGATGGAAAGAACACGAACATGGTGCTAAAACACGAACAGAGCTAAAAATAAAGTAATCAAATGAATCAATATGATTGAAAGTCGAAAAGGAAGAGATTAGTGTCACTTGTTAATCTAAATTTTATATCTCAATCAATGAACACAATACTATCTTGAAAATAAAATCAATTTTTTGTTTGTTTATCTATTCATCTAAATGGCATTATTCATTCAAGTATGAACGGGTCGACCAACCCGACATCGAACCTGACCGCAAAATATTTGATAAGCACAGTTATTCTGGACTTACGATATGAACAAAAGGAAATAATAATATGGTGCTGTTTTATTAAAACAGTGTACATATTCATAAATATTTTATGGCAAACAGTACGCTCCGAATGAAGTTGTGCTTCTGCCACAGTTGCCATAATTCTCAAGTGCTAACAATGCAAATTCATGTGTAAATGATGACTCTATACTGTCTTCAGTCTCTGCACTGTAAGACACGAACATAAAGCAAATAGTATCAGATGTTGTTGTATTCGACAGTTGTTGCATACTCAATGCCATAGCTTTTATACATAAACGGTACACAGTGTACACATGTATTCATTTTGGTGACGGTGTATGGTGGTTTTTCCGTTATTGTTTTGTTTATCGTTGTTGGAAAATGTTGTGCGGCATCTACAGTTGCGTCTCTTTGCTAATATTTTGCAATCAACACAATTTACAGATGCACCGTGTGCACATTGTTTTATATTAATTTGTTTCAAATATTATATTTCTTCCATGTCGTTAAGTACATTCATACACAAATATTAATTCATTTTCCACGTTGAATGGAATTGCTCATGCTAAATTACAATGTGGATTTTAAAAATGATTTTCACGCAAATATATTGTAAAGATTCAAGTGTGAATTATGCGAGAAATTTATGTTTTAGCAAGAACAGAGTTTAGCAAGAACCACCATCGACAAACAACGACAAAAACAAGCTAATAAGGAATCCTGAAATTCGAGAAATATCACCATCGATGTGCTTTTGTATCTGCTGACACATAATACCTGTATGACGGCTATGTACTGTGTTCACGTAACCGAATGCGTTTTTCATTCATTTCAATACGGAGAAATTGGCGCGCACACAAAACCAGTAAAAATGTGAAAAGACGTTTGAAATGAAGTTCTATTTGCTCCATTTTGTATAAATTTGCATCCCTATCAGGATATTTGTTTTAATGATAGGCAATAGCAACGGTTATAGTGTGTGTGTGTGTGTGTGTGTGTGTGTGTGTGTGTGTGTGTGTGTG